TATTTTGTGAGTCTAAAGTTTTATATCTAATTTATCTTTTATCATGACTAAGGAAAAATTATACCTAGTCTTCAACTCCATCAAAGACCCCAGAAGGATATAATATTACTTAAGGAAAGAGGAAGTGCATTGCAAGCAACTTCAATAATTCTAAAAATGACAGAAACATCTGGCTACCTGGACAATCATCCAAAGTTCCTCTGTAACTTTGGGGCATCTGTCTTCAGCCTATAGTCCTAGAGTCTCTGGCATAGCTTATAATGAAGGCAGAAATTTAAAGGACCGTTTCACTCATTTTGGCAAAGTTCATCAGTCGCTTCTCCCCTTGTTCCTATACAGTGTCTGGTAGTTTCTTCTGTGAAGCAGGAACCTGAAGGATCATCTCACCTTGCAAAGTTTAATGGTCACCTTCCTAACGAGGACTATGGGGGTTTAGCCCCTCGATAGTCCCCTCCCAGGGTCCGGGAAGAATCTGCGACCAGCTGATAATTAATCTTTGATGAAAAGAAATGAATCTGTGTACATGAAACTCCTTAGTCCATATACTTTATTATTCTGTGTCAGTTACAAGCTTATATTCTGCTCTCATATTTAGCTCATTTCTTGCCTGATTTCTCTCTACACTTATCTGCGGTCCCCTCTAGGTTCTATCTTAATTCCTTCATCTAGTTCTGCCCCTTCTAGGTTCTCATCCATCTTGTTCTTTCCCATATCATCTCCTCTCCCATCTCCTTCTCTCTCCTCATCTCGTTCTTCCTCATCTTGTTCTTCCCCATCTGGCTCTTCCTCATCTTCCATCTCGATCCTCTAGTCCTCTCTTCTAGCCCTTCAATCTAGTTCTTCCCCATCTCAGTTTGTTCCTCTCAAGTTCTTACCCGTCTAGTTCTTCCATTCTCTTTTCTCTTCTCTCTCCCCGTGCCCTGGAAGTCCTGGTATATATATACTTACAAGGAGTAATCCCTTGGGGGTGCAAAGCCAGGTTTCCAGGGTCAAACAGAGGGGTGATAGGAATCACATTGAGAGGCAATAAACCGTTAATTATCATTTGCAACCCCAAAGGGAAGTGACCAATGGGGAAATGAATTAACTAAAGGCTAAATTCGGGTAATAACTAAGAAGAGGGATCTTATGTGCTCAACTATAGTCTTAAACGTGATTAGTAGAAAATGTTAAGAATCTGTAAGTTGCTAGGTCAATGGGAGAAAATAAAACTGTCTTCTTTTTTCCTGTGACTCATATCTGTCCATGCTATCTGCCATTTTTCTGCAGGGTGGGGGAAAGTGTGCTCAGTCGCTAGGCAACCTGTGTACAGCTAGATGCCTCTGGTGATAGTTAAAGGGAGATCTGGAACTAGAGGTAATGGTTTGGGAAAGGAGGAAGTAAGGCTTAATTGGCACATCCGCCAGGCCTTCTCAAACAGGTAGCCTGGATGCTTAAGTCTGTTCTTAGAGAGTACAGAGGTATCTCTGATAAGATACTTTTCTCCATCTGGGGATTTACCTGGCCGGATGCTGCCAATGATGATAATTACAGGGAGGATTGAACTGGAGTTCTGGCTGAGCATAGCTGTCAGTGCAGAAGGTTATCTAAATATTTCTAGAAGTGGTTAGGTAAGGAGTTACAGGTCTATAAAGTTAGTAAGGATGTAAGAAAGGAGGGTCCAAGCTAAATTGTGTAAAGCTATTACTTAACATCCACCTGACCTAGGCGGTGTCTCCTTGTGGAATTTATCTTAAATCAGGAGACTTGCATGTGTACTGTTATTACTGCTAGTCCTTGAAAGTGGCCAAGGGAGATATCTGATTCCAGAGAAAGCCTTTCCTGAGGCTGTTCTCCAAATACCTGGAATGTGTATGTCCAGAGAGTGATCAGTCCACACTGTTAGCCCTTCTTAGGGAAAAGTCAATTGGGAAAACTATGAAGGCACACGTGGTTTTCATAACAGAATACAGCTGATATATAACAAGCCAAGTAACACCCAAAACTCCTTGGAATTTGGCTTCCTCTGGAGGAATTCCCTGATCCCTCCAGGTAGTGACTTTGCCATAACCAGCTGAGTTCTTATGATATATTCCTACGGCCCATAGTACCTTCCTATGGGTTCTGCATGTTCAGTTTATACAACATACTGTCAAGCAGTCTAGGCAAGAACATTTTCTTGACCAAATGACTAACTTTTGCCATAAAGAAAGCAAACTCCATATGGATTTTCTTCGATGCCCATCATCCCCAGCCATTCCAATTGCTTGAGTGTTTTCTTTTTCTTTTCTGTTTTTTTTTTTTTTTTTTTTTTTTTTTTTTTTTTTTTTTCAAGACAGGGTTTCTGTGTAGTAGGGTGCCTGTCCTGTATCTCGATCTATAGACCAGGCTGGCCTCGAACTCACAGAGATCTGCTTGGCTCTGTCTCCCGAGTGCTGGGATTAAAGGCATGTGCCACCACCACTTGGCATTTTCTTGTTCTTTAAGGTTTCCTTAGGAATCTCACTTAATGTTAAAGCTTATCTTTTATAGGTGATCAAAGTGAGAGTAGGCTGTGTAGAATTGTTTACCTCAGATTGTATTTGCCAGATAAAACAAAGTTTGAAACTCTTACATTAGTGTTTGTTTTTTTAAATACTGTGACAGCACACCTGACTTAAACACCTTACGTTGGGAAGGGCATATTTTTGGCATCCTGGTTGAATTTGCAGTCCATCATGGTGGAGTAGTTACGGTGACAGAAGCAGATCCAGCCATGTCAGCAGGAATGTGAGGCAGGTGAATGCTGGTGCCAAGCTCACTGTCCTTTTTTCTTCTTGTTTTATATAGGGTCCCTGTCCATGTCATAGTGCCCTCCACATTAGGCTTGGTCTGTCTTCCTTAAACCTCTCTGGAAGTAGCCTCACAGTCATAGCCAGAAGTGTGTCTCCTCAGTGGTTCTCAGTTTAATCAAGTTGATAATTAAGAACATCCGCTATAGCCATTAACACGTTTATAGAAATGTGTTTACATAGCTGGGTGGTGGTGGTGGTGGTGGTGGTGGTGACGACGACGTTGACGACGACGACGACGACGTTGACGACGACGACGAAGCACGCCTTTAATCCCAGCACTCGGAAGGCAGAGGCAGGCGGATCTCCGTGAATTTGAGGCCAGCTTGGTCTACAGAGTGAGATCCAGGACAAGTGCAAAGCTTACACAGAGAAACCCTGTCTTGTAAAACCAAAAAAAAAAAAAAAAAAGAAATGTGTTTACAGTCTTAATATCTCTGTTTTAGATGTATTCTTTTTAAATTTATGTATATGGATGTTTTATCTATATGTACATCTGCACATTAGAAGAGGGCATTGGATTCTATAAGACTACAGTTATAGATGGTTGTAAGCTGGCATGTGGGGCCTGGGAATTGAACTCAGGACCTCTGGAAGAGCAGCCAGTGCTCTTAACTGCTGAGCAATCTCTCCAGCCCAAGTGTATTCTTTTATTTTAAGTATATGAATGTTTTTCATGCATGTATTTCTGTGCACCACTTGCATGCTTGGTATCTGAGGAGGCCAGAAGAGGGCATTAGAGTTACAGTTGTGAACCACATTTGTAGGAGCTTGGACTCAAGCCTGGGAACTCTGGAAGAGCAGTTAATACTCTTAACTGCTGGACTATCTCTCCAGCCCCCAAGTATTTGTTTTATGTATGGGTTACAACTGTTTCCATCCAGTAATAATTTTTGTTGATGTCTTTGAGACAGAGTCTTGCTGTGTAGTCCTGGCTGGCCTAGAATTCACAATGTAAAAGAGGCTGGCCTCAAACTTGTGATCCTACTGTTTCTACCATTCAGGTGCTAGGATTAGGGGCATGTGTCACCACACTGAGCCTCAGGAGTAATTTAAAAAATGAAATTATGGGCTGGAGAGATGACTCAGCTGTTAAGATAACTTGCTGCTCTTCCAGAAGATCTGAGTTCCTAGCACCCACTTCAAGGGGCTCACAACTGCCTGTAACTCCAGCTCCAGGGTATTTAACACCCTTATCTGGCTCCCTCAGTCAACCCATGAAATTAATAAGATTTGGGCTTTTTATTACATCTACTTAATGGTGTGTGTATGGGTGGACAGCATATGGAAGTCAAAAGACAATTTATGGAAGTCAGTTTTCTCTTCCCACCATGTAGATGAGGAGAGTTGGGATTCACACTCAAGACTTCAGGCTTGCCAGTAAGCTTCCTTACCTGCTGAGTCATCCAGTTTAGGGTTTTGTAGAGATGTTATTGTCTCCAGAAACTTTTGTTTTTTTTTTGTTTTTTTTTTTTTTTTTTGTTGTTGTTGTTTTTTGAGGCAGGGTTTCTCTGTGTAGCTTTGGAGCCTGTCCTGGAACTCCCTTTGTAGACCAGGCTGGCCTCGAACTCACAGAGATCTGCCTGCCTCTGCCTCCTGAGTACTGGGATTAAAGGCGTGCGCCACCACCGCCCAGCTTGAAACTTTTTTATAGTTGTAAGGAAACCAGAGTTTCTGGGTGTTTAAATTACCAACCATTATATGTAAGACTTGAGGAGGACTGGCCCTAGTGCTTACTCGTGTTTTTAGGTCTGGTTTGCATGCCCATAATGTGTGCCTTAGGATTAGTTTGCTTTTACAACGTAAATTTAGTACTACCTTAATCTCCGTGGTTTGTAATTAGTTAGAAAAAAATCATTGTGGCTTATTTTTTGAGAGTGGAGTGACGGCATTACTTTTATAAAGATTTCATCTTTGTGAGATCTAGCTAGCTCTAGAATCACTTGCTTTCCTATGGGAGAGTAGCCTCTTAACTATTTTGGGATAAATTCTGTCCCTTTGAAAATTTGTTCCTGTAATGATAATGATGAGAGAGAGAGAGAGAGAGAGAGTAGATTGCCTGTTATTTCTGTATCTCTAAAATAAATTTAGGCACTAGAGAGTTAAACTCATTAAATGTAGTTTATAATGATTAGGTATATAAAGTAATGGTGTTTTTATAATCAGAATTTAATTATTTTGCCTCCTTAGCGCTGGCTGACAGAGCAGAGAGCTCAGTGTCCTCATTGTCGGTAAGTGTTTCGCTGTTTTATATGGAAAATGGTAAAAGAAAGAAAAGCCATGGGGTCAGAGGATGCCCTGGGATGTCTAGAGGCAAATTCCCCTTCCCCCTCCACCCCTGCAGTTTTCCACATTTCTTTTTTTTTTTTTTTTTTTTTTTTTTTTTTTTTTTTTAAAGATTTGTTTATTTATTATGCATACAGTGCTCTGCCTGCATGTATCTCTGCAGGCCAGAAGAGGGCACCAGATCTCATTACAGATGGTTGTGAGCCACCATGTGGTTGCTGGGAATTGAACTCAGGACCTTTGGAAGAGCAGCCAGTGCTCTTAACCTCTGAGCCATCTCTCCAGACCCCACATTTCTTTTCCTTAGGGATAAAGTTGAATAAAAAATGATGAGTAGATTTGGAAACACAAGTGCAGAAACTGTCTGTATGCCTGGCCAAATTTTAGGTTGAATGTGTTATTTGTGGTTGTAGTGCTGTGCCCTTGTTTTTCTTACATAGTTTATTGTGTGACTTCTTAACTTTCGAATTTAAACAAAAAGTTTAATTGGGGCTTGGTAGCTCACACCTGTGATCCCGAGCACTGAAGACTGAAGCAGGAGGTTTGCCATGCATTTGGGGCTAACCTGAGCTATAGTGTGAGATTTGATTTACTGGACAAAAAGAATCCTTTCAGAAGAAATGGACAGGCATATAAGAATAACACGCCTGATGTATATTCTTACATACCTTTTTTTTTTTAAGGTTATTTTGAGACAGGGTTTCTTTGTATAGCCCTGGCTATCCTAGAACTTGTTCTGTAGACCAGGCTGGCCTCAAACCCAAAGAGATCCACCTGCCTCTGCCTCCTGAGTGCTGGGATTAAAAGCACGAACCACCATTGCCCAGCAATTATATACCTTTTCTTAAAGCAGACAAATATAGTAACTTACTGTTTATGATTCTCTTGCTTGTCATTTGTTTACTCTTTGGGATATGTTCTCATGTAGCCCAGGCTGGCCTCCACCTATAAGGATAAACTTGATCTCCTGACACCACGTCCTGAAGTGATAGGATTTACAGGCGTGTGCTCCATACCTGGCTTTATAATTTGCTTTTCCCCCCTCCTAAAATCAGTGGGAATATTTCACTGATGGTGTGTGTGTAAGTCATTTAAGCATGTGTTTGATAACTCTCTTTATAAGATTATGTTGATATTGAGAAATGTTTAGCTTGTTTCTATTTCTCGTTATGTAGGCAATGGTGCCAGACTGCCACCTTTTACTCTTCTGTTTGCTTTCTCATATTAGTTTATGAGAAGAGCGGCACTGTAAATGAGAACTTGCTGTAGTGATTGTACTTTTCTACATACAGTATAGTGTGGCCACCAGCTGCATGTGCTATGGAACATTTCAATTGTGTCTAATGTGACTAGTGACATTTTATTTATTTGTTTATTGAGACTGTTTTGCTATGTAGCCCAGGTGGGCTTTGAATTCATCCTCTGGTCTCAGATTCCTGAGTGTTGGGGTTATAGGCATGTGTTACCATTTTTTTAAAATGAAATAGCCATATTTGGCCAGTGATTGCCATTCATTTATCATTGTTTTGATGGTCTATGACTTGAACCCAGGAATTAACTCATACTAATAGCATAATATGCTGCCACTGAACTGCGTACTCCAGGCCCATGGCTATCATTTTGTACAGTCCAATTTAGGCTAAGAAATTAAAAATTTATCATGTAAATTATCATTGTTATTGTTTGGATAGTGCATTCGTCGTGTGTGTGTGTGTGTGTGTGTGTGTGTGTGTGTGTGTGTGTGTGTGTGTAATGTATGAATGTAATAAAATAAGTTACAAAGCATATTTTTCATTGTCTCTTTGCTCTTTTGACAGAATGCCTCACTGCATAGCCCAGGCTAGCCTGGAGCTCATTATTTCACCCAAAGTGGCTTTGTACTCTTCAGTTCTGTAGCCTTGGTGATAAGATTACAGATGTGCTTTTTCATACCTGACTTTTATTATTGTTTTAATATTGTGCTCTCTTTTGAGGAATACCTACTTTAGAAAAATCTTGGATGTCTGTGCTGAAACATATACATGTATGGATTTTCTTTTCAGTGCTCCACTCCAGCTACGGGAACTAGTGAATTGTCGCTGGGCAGAGGAGGTGACACAGCAGCTTGATACTCTCCAACTGTGCAGTCTCACCAAGCACGAAGAGAATGAGAAGGACAAGTATGTGCTCGGTCCTTTGGTTCAGGAATTAATAGGTTATGCCATGTGCTGTTTTAATGACGCTTTATGTATCCGTATGCATACACTTCTATAATTGGCTTGGTGTGTACTTGCTCATGAATGTCTGTGTATGTCTTGGGTCCTGGGGATTGAACCTAGGGCCACATGTATGTGAAAATACTCACTGACTTCAAGATCTAATGACACTATATTGATAGTGTTCTCTTTTTTCTATAAGTGAGAAAGTTAATGTTAGTTAACCTTCTATATTCTTTCATTTGTTGCTCAATATCTAAAGTTTTTCTTTCTTTGTTGTTTATTTAACATCTATTTCATGACCTCTCACCCACAGAGGCACACAAAAGCAATGTGCTAGATTATCGGATACAAAGGCAAATGAATAGGTTAATTCTGTTTAACTGATTTACAGGAACACATGGTACGGTCTTGTTAGAAAGTACAATGGGAGCAAATTTTGGATAAAAAAGAATGAGTCGTTTTATATTACATGTTTACAAATATTGATCATATCTATAGGGTTATTAGGAACAGATCAAAAGTGGAAAGTTAGGAGAGATTCCAGGAATGTCAAATTTAAAGTAACTATTTATACACAGCGTGTTAAACTACTAAGTTTAACATTGTTATTATTATTATTATTATTATTATTATTATTATTACTATTATTATTATTATTACTATTTTATAGAGCTAGGACCATGGGGCTAGAGAAATGGCTCACTGGTGAAGAGTGCATACTGCTTTTGCAGAGGACCTAAGTTGGATTCCTATCACCCACGTCATGTGGTTCATAACTCCCTGTAACTCCAGCTCCAGGGGGATCCAATGCCTCTGTCTTCCATGAGCACCTGCATTTAAATGAACATACCCACAAACAGATACATGTACACGTAATTTAAAGTAATAAAAAATAATGAGTCATTTTTTAAAAAGAAGAAAAGGAATTGACCCACAAAAATGAGAGGTAGCTAAATTGGATTCTTCTTCTTTGTTTGGCTCTTTTTCTTTCTTTCTTTTTTTTTTTTTTCCTTTTCTTTTTTTTACTTGTTCACTGCAGGCTTTTGCTGTGTATCCCAGAGTGAACTTAAACTAACTTTGTAGTTTCACTTTGTAGTTAGCCTTCCTCTGCTTCAGTCTCCTGGGGAGAGATTACAGATTTGTGCCACTTTGCTCAGTTGATACCTCGCTAGTCCTTAATTAAATAAGACTGGGTGTTATTTCTCCTACTGTTCTAGCTAAACTGCGCTTTTTTCCCTTCTTTTTTGTTTTTTTGAGACAGAGTTTCTCTGTGTAGCTGTCCTGGAACTCAGAGCTCTGCCTGCCTCTACTCCCAAGTGCTGGGATTAAAGGCGTGCGCTACCGTGCCTGGCTTGCTAAACTGGACTCTTAAGGCTGTTACTTTTAGCATTGTGGTGGTCATACCAAAAAGTGATTTAAATATAATAACACATTTCATCAGTGACCTCTCGAATATTTTTCCCTGTAGAATGATGAGATATCACTATTTGGAAAAGGTTTTTTTTTTTTTTTTTTTTTTTTGGTTGGGCTTTTACATTTTTTATTAGTGCCTCTCATAAAAGGAATAAATATCCTACAGTTTCCTAATCTGGCAATCTTCTGTTTTGTTGTAATTTTGAGCCTTAGCTTCCCAAATGTATTTCAGATGTGTGCCACCATACCAAGATTTTGGTGTTATGTAATATACCATGTAAAGGAAGGCTCTATATTGATATGGTAGGTGACTGTGTGGTTTAAACAGTGGGAATTTTTTCCCCTTCTGTAGTTTTAGAGGCAGGAAATCCAAGATCAAGGTGTTTGATGAAGGGTTGGTTTCTGGTGAAGCTTCTATCCTTGACTTGTAACTGGCTGCCTTCTTTCTGAGTCCCTTTGGAGGTTAAGACTTCAACATAAGAATTTATTGGAGAGCACAGTTAAGTCTGTAGCAGAATTGAACTTCATTGTTTTATATGTGAACATCTGTATTAAGAGAAAGTTTTAATTGAATTGTTCATTTATAGTGGCGACCTAGTATTGACATTGTGCAGTTGATATCTCTCATTTGTTATTATTGGCCAGTTGCAGGAAAGTACTTATGCATATTCATGTATGTGCTCTTGTCTGAAGCTTAGTCTTTGTATTAGGCAGTAATGGGATAGCATTTATTGTATATAGTGATGACAGGAAGTGGGGCATGTAGTTTATTTAGAAAGGAATCTGTCATTTGCTTGTTTAAAGTTTAGATTAATGAAAAAAGTACTTTAACATTTTTGTCCATGTGTAATTATTTAGCCTAATTCTTAGAAGCTGTTGAATACCTTTTACCTTTTTTATGATGCTATAACCATTTGAAATTGAGTGATCTGTTTGCCTTAGCTTAGACATTTCTTGGAAATTATACTTCAGTTTTAATTTATAACTGCCTTTTCTTTTCATATTGTATAGATGTGAAAATCACCATGAAAAACTTAGTGTATTTTGCTGGACTTGTAAGAAGTGTATCTGCCATCAGTGTGCACTTTGGGGAGGAATGGTGAGCAGAACAAATTCATCATGTTCTCTTTGGTTTAGATACTAGAAGGCATTGATAGCATTAGTTGATTTAGATGGAATAAAGTATCATTTTACTTTGATGAAAAATGTACCTGTTTTATGCATTTTAGAAGTATTGTGCCTCCTGCTGTTCCAGAAGAGCCTCTTTGGTCAGGAGTGTTGATATAGGATAGATACTGCTTTTATAGCTTAATGTATATAAAATATATATTCACATTTAACTTATATTTTTCTCCTTTCTTCTTTTCTCCTTCCTTCTTTTCTCCTTCCTTTTTTTGTGGTGTTGGTGATTGAACCCAGGGCCTTATGCTTGCTGGGCCAGTGCCATACCAGTAAGTTACATCCTCAGCCCAGGACTAGTGTCTCTGATTTGAGTACTGGTCAGTTGATCTTCAGACTTTAGACGCTTCTGAAGTAATAAAGTATTATTTAGTTTGTCTTTCTAATCTTGTTCAGAGGCCCTCACTGTTCCCAGGGTTGTTGCCTACCCCCACCTTAGCCTCCATCCAGAGGTGGGACTACAAGCATGCAATTCCTTGGTTGGCTTAAAAGATGTTTGGGTTTTTTTGAGACAGGATATCACTATGTAGGCCAGGCTGGCCTTAAACTTCAAGTCCTTCTGCTCCAGCTTCCCTAGTGCTGGGGTTATAGGCGTGTAGTATGTCTGGCTAAAAGATTTTTTTTTTTTAGATTTTTAAGATTTATTTATTATGTATACAGTGTTTCTGTCTGCATGCCAGAAGAGGGCACCGGATCTTATTATAGATGGGTATAAGTTACCATATGGTTGCTGGGAATTGAACTTGGGACTGCTGGAAGAGTAGCCAGTGCTCATAACCTCTGAGCTATCTTTCCAGCCCTAGCTAAAAGGTTTTAAGCCAACTTACCTTTATCAAATCTGAAGTATTCATAGTAGCCTCCTAGAAGTTGCTTAATAGCCAATTAAATCATTTATATTCAGTATAACAACATAAATAGGTTGAGATTAAACACAATAAGAGTTTTTGTTTTTGTCAGTGCTGGAGATTCAGAGCCTCCCATATGGTAGTAATGATGTTCTATCAATGGGCTCTAACCCTAGACTAAAACAATAGATTCTTAATGGGAGAAATAAAAGTTTATCTACATCAGTAATTGCCTAAGTCTCAGGTTAACTATGAGACTGATCATTTTGTGTGGCTATTGGGCAGTGTATTTACAGAGAGTATGGCAGGCTGAGCTGGTTGAGTAGTGCTCAGTCCAGAGAGCTTTGTCTGAGTTTGAATTCTAATGTACTGACTGGAAAAATTTTAAGTTACCACAATTTGATGTTGAAGCAAGTTTTAGAAGAGGCTCAAGAGACACTCTCAGAATCAGCATTTAAAAAAATCCACATCAGTCAGGGTGGTGGAAAAATATCCACATCAGCCAGTCGTGGTGGCGCACGTCTTTAATCCCAGCACTCAAGAGGCAGAGGCAGGTGATCTCTGAGTTTGAGGCCAGCCTGGTCTGCAGAGTGAGTTCCAGAACAGCCAGGGCTACACAGAGAAACCCTGTCTCTCTACATCATATAGTTGGAGAGTTGGTTCAGCAGTTTAGAGCACTTGCTGCTGTTGCAGAGGACATGAGTTCAATTCCTAGCCCCACCTGATGACTTATAAGCATCCGTAACTCCATCCATAATTACATCCATATGTAATTCCAGTTCCAGGGTATCCAAAATCTTCTAATCTCTCTGGGGCACCAGGCATACATGTGGTATACATACATACATACATACAGGCAAAACATTCATGCATATAAAATAAAATCTAAAACAAAAAAGAAATCCACATTTTTTTGTGTGTGTGTGTGTGTGTGTGTGTGTGTGTGTGTGTGTGGAGACCATGGTGGGATGCTTTTGCTAAACAAGATACCTCTGTCAAGGTTTGTCTGTAGGCTGTCCTAGAATTCTTTATGTAGACCAGGCCAGCCTTGAACTCAGAGATTAATCTGTCTCTGCCTCCCATGTGGTGGGATTAAAGACATGTTTTACCATGGTTGGCTCCATTATTTTCTTAATGTCTAGTATTTAGTTTCTTGATGGCATTGCTACATTTTCTAGATAATTTTTTGCAATCATTGGCTTATTTTAAGAAAATAAAGGTGATATTAAAAGTTGAAATTCGCCGGGCAGTGGTGGCGCACGCCTTTAATCCCAGCACTCAGGAGGCAGAGACAGGCGGATCTCTGTGAGTTCAAGGCCAGTCTGGTCTACAGAGTGAGATCCAGAAAAGGCTCCAAAGCTACACAGAGAAACCCTGTCTCGAAAAACCAAACAAAAAAGTTGAAATTCATTTGAAAATAATTCACCAGTTTATCATTGTCCATAGAATATTAAAGAGGAATGTAAATGTAATTGGAGTGTATGAAACCTCCTCACACTACTCATATTGATTTCTGTAGCATGGTGGACACATGTTTAAACCTTTGGCAGAAATTTATGAACAGCATGTCACTAAAGTGAATGAAGAGGTAGCCAAACTTCGTCGACGTCTTATGGAACTGATCAGCTTAGTTCAAGAAGTGGTAAGATTACTTTTACATGAGATTGATAATCTTTTTTGATTCTGTGGTATATATTCTTATATAACTTCTGTGTTCAAATCAAGATTTTCAAAGTTTAAAGATTTGATGGGGTGATAAACCTCAAGTCTCAGTCAGCTACAAACAGTAGAGGAATTTGCACCCAGAGCTATGGCATATAGGGATCAGTTAAAGCTGTAGAATTGCCTTTTTCTTTCTTTCTTGAACAAATGTATTCTTTCTTTGTGTGTTTGTGTGTGTGCACGTGTGTGTGAATGTGTTTGTGATTGTGTGGGCGTACTTTTGCTATGGTGCGTATATGGAGGTCAAGGACAACTTTGGGGATTCTGGGGAGTGAACTTAGGTCGTCAGTATTGTACAGCAATTCCTTTAAGACACTGAGCCATTTCCCAAGAATTGTTTTTTATAGATAGAGAATCAGTAGTGAATTCAAAAAGTGGACTTGTTACAGAGTAAATTTACATCTAAGTAGTGTTATTATTGACACTGTGTGTTTTTGTTGGGGTAGTGGTACATGCAAGGCCTGAAGTCATCCTTAGGTGTCATTCCTCAGGAGCCATCCACCTTGTATTTTGAGATGAGGTCTCTCAGTAGGAATTGGAGGTCAACAATTTGGCTGTGCTGGTGGGTCAGCAAACCTTAGAGACCCTGTTTCTGCCTTCAACAGCAGTGTGGATGCTGGGGCGAGACTTCGGTTCCCATGCTCATATAAAAAGCATCGTACTAACTAACTGAGCCATCTCCCCAGCCCCAGTGTTGACTTTTGTAATCATTCAGGTTGTAGATCCTCAGCTTTTGGGAGGGTTTCTGCTACCAGTGAGGGAACTCTCTTTTTTTCTTTCAGATTTATTTTTTGTTTCATGTGTATGAATGTTTTGCCTTCTTGTATATATGTGAACTATGTGCATGCCTGGTGTCCTTGGGTTCAGAAGTAGGCTTCAGATTCCCTGGAACTAGAATTACAGGTTGTTCTGAGCCACCATGTGGGTGCTGGGAACCAAAACTGGATCCTTTGCAAGTGCAGTAAGTGCTCTTAACCACTGAGCCATCTCTAGCTCCTGAATGAACTCTTTTGTGTATGTTGAATTAGGCTCCATAGAGTTTAAAGAGTTATTATTTAACTATGAAGATGTCATATGTAGGGTTGGGGAAATGGCTTTGGAGATGCAGTATGTTGGGATGGGGAGATGGCTCAGGTTGCTTGATGCTCTTTCAGGGCACTGGAGTTCAGTTCATAACTGCCTGTAACTCCAGCTTCTGGCCTCTACAGGCACTCTCAACATGTGGCATATACCCAGATAGACACAAACTCATATATAAATAAAAACAGAAAAAAAAGGTTATCTGGGTCAGTTTTAGTAAGTTATTTGTTATTTATAATTTTTCTTTGGAAAAATGTGATAAATTTCAAGCAAGTACTAAATATCCTTTTGGAATATATTCTGTTTAAAGTTGCCAGAATGGGTTTTTTTGTATATCATTACTAACCTACCAGCAAGTATTCTTTACCTTTTGGGAATCAAGAATGAAATCATTATTTGTAACATTCTTTCAATATAAAATAGCATTACTGAATTGCATGCATGCTACAAAGCCCTTTTGAAAAACAAGCTAGCTGAATTGATTTTTTGTTTTTTTCTTTTGTTGTTGTTTTTTGTTTTTGATTTTTTTCGAGACGGGGTTTCTCTGTGTAGTTTTGGTGCCTGTCCTAGAGCTTGCTCTGTAGACTAGGCTGGCCTTGAACTCACAGAGATCCACCTGGCTCTGCCTCCCAAGTGCTGGAATTAAAGACGAGTGCTACTGTTGCCCAGCACTAGCTGAATTGATTTTATAGCCTTGTCTATCATTAATTTCTCTTGGCAGCATTAGGAGGCTATTCTAGGTTGAGAGTCCTACTTATATATAATAATAGCATGTATAGACATGATATTTTTTATTTTTTGTGGTACACTGACTTGAAATCTATTGCATATATTTTGCAATCTTGGAAAAACAACTATCTTTTTGTACGTATTCTGAAAACAATCTTTATGAACTAGAGAAAACACTGGATTTAAAGCATCTTTTGTTGGGCATGAAGACATGTACCTGTAATCCCAGCACTGAAGAGGGTAGATGGAGGCCAAAGAACCAGTTCAGGGTCTTCAACTATATGTCAAGTTCTAGTCTAGCCTGGAATGCATGAGATTCTTAAAAAACCCAAACAAAACCAAATCTTTTCTATTTTAGGATATGTACTGGTCAGTTTTGTTTAAATGTGGGTGTTAGTGTATGTGAGCATGTAGTCACATATCCTGACATTCTTGTGGAGGTCAAAGGACAACTTGCAGATATCAGCTCTCTCCCCTGTATGGCTCATGGGGATTTAACTCAGGTTGTTAGGCTTGGTGGGCAGTGCCTTTTCCTGCCAAGCCATCTCTTAGACCCTTTTGTTTTTATAAAGTAGTTTCTTATCTGAATGTGATTGGGACTAGTTTTATGTTACCTAAATTTTGTTTGTCTGTTTTGAGACAGGGTTTCATGCAGCCCAAGATGGTCTCAGATCTGTAGTTGAAGCTAGCCTTGAACTCCTGGTCTTTTTGCCTCGACCTCTCGTGTACTGAGATAATGGGTATGTGCCAGCACACCCAGTCAGTTGTGGTTATTTGGGAGCCACTGCTGGGGGACATACAGGAAAACTCCACGTACAGTAAAGACCTTTTTATTACTATATTTGTTAAATTATAAGAAACTTAATTATACTCTTTATTTTGAGAGCTTTATTACATTTATTTGTGTGTTTGTTTGCACATATAGGTAGGTGTGTGAGTGCATGCATGTGAAGGCCAGAGGACAACTTGCAGGAGTTGGTTCTCTCCTACCATTACGGGTCTTTGAGTTTGAACTTGGGTCATCAGGCTTTGTGGTAGGCACCTTTCTCTACTGAGCCACCTCACCAGGCCCTAATTGTGTGTTTTTAATAATCTTTAAAATGGATTTAGTTGAATTTACAACTTTTTTTTAACATTTACTGTATGTGTATGTATGTGTGTTTGTACACCTTTCTATGGCCTAGGTTTGGAAGTCAGAGGACAACTTGAAGGGATTGGGTCTTTCTCCACCACGTAGATGCCAGGGATTGAGCTCAGGTTGTCAGACTGGGTGGCAGACATCTTTATCTCCCAAGTCAACTTGCTGACCCCAAACTTACAGGATTTTTTTTTTAAAGCAGTTTTACCTATATAGTACAAACAATTAAAATTTTGGTTATGAATTTTAAAGAGGTAATTAACTGATTTTAAGATTAATCACAGTGATTGCATTATGTTCTTGTTTATCTTCTAGGAAAGAAATGTAGAAGCTGTAAGAAATGCAAAGGATGAGCGTGTTCGGGAAATTCGGAATGCGGTGGAGATGATGATCGCACGACTAGACACACAGCTGAAAAACAAGCTCATAACACTCATGGGTGAGTGTGTTTAGTCTGCTGGAGGACATGGTACCCGACCTTGTTTGTGCATCCGTCTTTGAGGAGTCAATTGATGAGTTGTTATGACTAGGAAGCAATCTTAGGATTTTAGGCAACTCCATGTTATATAACCTGGACTACAAGTCTGACTTCGGTTAAGAAGTGATCAAATAAAAAACTTTTTTGTAGCTAAAGTTTTCCTGCCTGGCCCACAGTCAGGACAAATCTCTATCACCCGCCAGTCCCACAGCCACACAGCCATTCATAAACTTATGAATATTCTACTATGTCTAGTATTTTGATGCCTAGTTAATAGGTTTTCTGTGTGCACTTCTGTTTAACATTTCAGCTTACTGTTTTTGATGAATTCTCGTTGGTCTTAGCTCTAGATTGAAGTTTCTCAATTGTGATTGTGTGTATTTGATGTGCAATTTGGAGTATGCAGAAGGTGTGGTAAGGGAAAACATTGGACCAACGAATGTAGATCAACAAGGGACAGACAGGGTAATCCTCTGCCTCGAGCTTCGGGAAACTCAGAGGGGCCTCAGGCAGGCCCCCACAGTAAATCCAGTTCAAACCTTTCCTGCAGTTGTAGAGGAAAGCCCTACTCAAAGCAACTAAATAACCAAATGTCTATTGGAATAAATCATGTTAGTCGAGATGATGAAACAGAGAAAATAGGAAATTCAGGAAAAAACATAAAATTTTTTGGCAAATTTCTATTAATGAACAAAGACCAAAACTAACAATAAAGATAAATGATGTTTTGTTGTCTGATCTGGTAGACACAGGTGCGGACATTACCATAATTGCACCAGAATTTTGGCATCCAACTTGGCCTCTTTAGGAGGTAAACGTTCAACTGTTAGGAATTGGGACATTATCTCGAGTGAAACAAAGTGCAAGATGGCTTGAATGTATAGGTCCAGAAGGACAGAAAGGAAAATTAAAACCATCTATGGCCAACATAGCTATGAACCTGTGGGGTCGAGACTTGTTACAACAATGGAATACTCAGATTAATATCCCTCCAGTCTCAGAAACAAATCATAAATTAGTACATGTTTCTGAGAGAAATATTAAAAGATATTATTCTAATGAGTGCTCACCAGACATCCATGTCATACAAGAACAGGGCACAACAATTGATAATATTCCAAAAACACCAACAGCTCTACCTTTAAAATGGTCAACAGACAAGCCTGTATGGGTTCAGCAATGGCCAATCAGTGTTTTATTTATTGACTAATCAGCAACACATTTGCCATACAGACCATCCCACAGCACTTTTTCATACCTTTTATATGAAAATCCTAAATAGTCTGTGAACCTCATTAGTAGGTAGCTTTTTTTTTTTTTTTCTCCCACAACTAAGAAAACAATTCGCTATCAATGTCCCTTTTCCTTTTATTCTGTCTTCTTTGAAAGTGAAATACTAGGCGGGCATTGGTGGCACACGCCTTTAATCCCAGCGCTTGGGAGGTAGAGGCAGATGAATCTCTGAGTTGGAGGCCAGCCTGGTCTACAGAACAAGTTCTAGGACAGCTAGGGACACACAGAGAAACCCTGTCTCAAAAAACCAAAACAAAAAAGGTAAAACACTGATGTTTGTGAATATGAGCCATTGTCTCAGCTTTTTCTGAGAGTTTTAAATTCTAGGTGTTTGATTTTAGATTTAAAGTCTTACCTTAAATCAAAATTATATTTAATCATATTGCTTATTCTTGGGTTCCTCTAAGGTTTCCTCATTCTTCTTTGTTGGTTTTGTTTTTTTTTTGTTTTTTTTTTTTTGGTTGTTTGTTCATTTTTTAAAAAGATTTATTTATTATGTATACAGTGTTCTGTCTGTATGTTTGCCTGTGTGCCAGGACAGGGAGCCAGATCTCATTATAGGTGGTTGTGAGCCACCATGTTGTTGCTGGGAATTGAACTCAGGACCTCTGGAAGGGCAGCCAGTGCTCTTAAACTCTGAACCATCTCTCCAGCGCCTTATTTATTTTTTTAAAGATAGGGTCTTACTGTGTAGCCTCAACCAATCTGGCCTAGAACTGGCTTAAGCTGTAATCTTAATTTATGCAGTGTTTTACTAATACAAAACTTGCTTTATAATTTTCATTATAACCCAATATGCTATATAAAATCTTTAATAAAGTATGAACAATATTTTATGCTTTGTGTTCTTTCCAAGATTTTGACTGTATCTTTCAGTTTGGGTATTCATATATTAGTTCATGGATGTTTTCATATTATTAATCTATACAATCTGACTTCAGGGTTTTTTTTAAATTTTTTTTTTTTAATTTTTAAAAAAAATTTAAATTTTTTAACGTGATAGTTTTAACATACACTCTTTAGGCTGGGCATGGTGGCACACACCTTTAATCCCAGTGCTAGGTAAGCAAAGGCAGACGGATTTCTGAGTTTGAGGCCACCCTGGTCTACAAAGTGAGTTCTAGGACAGCCAGGGCTGTTACACAGAGAAAACCTGTCTCAAATATATGTGTGTGTGTATGATTAAACGATACTGTTTATTCACTCAGTGGAGCAATTAGAAGAAATCTGCAGCCATTGCTTTTCCGTATCACTTAGATAAATGTTCATGCAAGAGAAAATCAGATTTTCTTAGGTCCCCAGCTACAGTCAGTCATGTGTATGATTGGTCCTACTTTTTTTAGGCTTCTAAATATATTTGGAGATGGGAGAGGTGACACATGCCTGTAATTTTAAAGTTGGGAATTGGAAGCAGGAAGATCAGGAGTTTGAGGTCATGTGCTTTCCTACATAGTGAGTTCAAGGCTGGACTAGGGTATATAAAATAAAACCCTGCCTTAATAACAAAAAACATTCTTTTGAGACTCCTTTACCTTTAATAGACCACACAGAGGACTGGAGTTTAAACTGGAGATTTTATTTTATATTTTGTTAGTTTGTCTTGGGGTTTTGAGACAGGGTCTCACTGAGTGGTCCAGGCTGGCCTCATATTCACTGTGTAGCTCAGGTTAGCCTCAACTTTGGTGATCTTTTGCCTTAGCTTCCAAGTGTGATCACTGGTGTGGGTTACCACACTCAGTGAGACTTGAAAATGAGTCTTAGATATGTTGACACACACCTACAGTCCTAGCTCTCAAGTGACTAAGGTAGGAGGGTCATGAGGATCCCTCTGGGCTACACCATGAAAAGCCTTCTTCTCATAAAGTCAGATCAGCTGGGGAGATGGCTCTGCAGAAAGTGCTTGCTAAGTGAGACTGCTGACCTGAGTTCAAGCCCATGAATCCATATAGAAGGAGAAGGGGAGAATCAACTCTACGTACATAGTTGTCCTCTGAACAAACACCCACACATTACACACACACACACACACACACACAAAAAAAAAAAAAAAAAAAAAAAAAAAGATTCCTGCCAGGCAGTGATAGCACACGCCTTTGATCCCAGCACTCGGGAGGCAGAGGCAGGCAGATCTCTGAGTTCCAGGATAGCTAGGACTACACAGAGAAAAACCCATGTTGTCACCCCACACCCCCCCCCCCCAAAAAAAAGAAAAGACTCCTGTTGGTGTCTGACAAGATGGCTCAGCCAGTAAAGGTTCCGACTGCCAACCCTGATAGTCTCAGTTCAGTTTGCACGGCCCGCTTGGTGGAAGGAGAGAACTGATTCCACAGTTGCCCTGTGACTGCCACATACATGCTGTGGCCTGAATGGCCCCCACAATAAAAGAAATTTAGAATTTACCCCTCAGTTTTTTCTTGGAGACAAGGTTGCTCACTGTGTCCTGCTTATTTGGAACTCACTGTGTAGGTCAGGCTGGCTTCAAACTCAGAGATCCTGAGTACTAGAATTAAAAGCACCACTTCTTCTGTTAGCTCAAAATAATAGTATTAAAGCAAATAAGCTACTTAAAGTATTTTTCACTTTTAATATGATTTTGAATAATAACCAAATGTATACTTGCATGTAGCCTTGCTTTTTGTTTATAAGTTTGCCTAACTTCTTTAATTAACTAAAAGTCAATTATGTCAGCACTATAGATTTTTAAAATTTAAGGAATGTATGTGTGTATTTGGGGTGTATGCTTGTGTGTGTAAATACAAAAACTTGTGTGTGCATATGTAGTTAAAGGTTAAAGTTGGGTGTCTTCCTCTTTCCCTTTTTTATTATTTTTAACTTTTGAAAGAAGATTTATTTTACTTTTAATTATGTGTGTATATGTGTACATGCTAGTGCAAGAAAGAATCCAGAAGAGGGCATTAGATACCCCACCCCCCAACCCCCAGAGCTAGAATTGGTAGTTGTGAGCTGCCCTGACAAAGGGCGGTAGGAACCAAACTTTGGTCCTCTCCAAGAGCTGTACATGCTCTTAACCACTGACTCTCTCCAGCTCCTCCACCTTGTATTTTTGAGGCAGTATCTCTCACTGAGCTTGCGATGCTCTGTTCTGGGTGTCCTGACTGATCCCTGAGTTCCCAGGATCTCCTTGTTCCCTTTCCCCTTCCCCAGCCCTGGGTACAGGCATACACTGCTGCTCTTGCCAGGTCTAATGCCTGTGCAGAAGAATTTTACCCTTTTAGCCAGGGTTTCTTTGTGTAGCCTTGGTTGTCCTGAAACTAGCTCTGTAGACCAGGCTGGCCTCAAATTCAGAGATCCTCTTGCTTCTGCCTCCTGAGTGCTGGGATTAAAGGCTTGTGTCACCACTGCCCAGCTTGAATTACTTTCTTTTTTGGGGGGTGGGTGGGCAGTTTGAGGTTTCAAGACAGGGTTTCTCTGTGTTGTTTTTTGTGCCTCTCCTGGATCTCACTTTGTAGACCAGGCTGGCCTCGAACTCATAGAGATCCACCTGGGCTCTGCCTCCTGAGTGCTGGGATTAAAGGCATGCCCAACAAAGCCCGGCTTGAATTACTTTCTTATCATGAAAAGTTACTGTACTTTGTAGTTTTTTTCCCTCTAGGTTTGTGGAATGACTGCCTTTTTCTCTTTTCTTTCTTTCTTTCTTTTCTTTTTTTTTTTCCCCTGAGACAGGGTTTCTCTGTGTAGCCCTGGCTGTCCTGGGACTTGCTCTGTAGACCAGGCTGGCCTCATTCATAGATATCTACCTACTACTCCTGAGTGCTGGGGTCACAGGTGTGCTCCACCACTGCCTGGCTACCTTAATTCTTTCTTTTTACTTAAGAAAATTTTTTCATTCATTTTACACACTAATCAAAGATCCCTTCTCTTCCCTCCTCCTGCCCCCACAGCCTCCCCCTCCCAACTCAACCCCAACTCCCCCTCACAAGAAGGCAAGGACTCCCATGGTGAGGCACATCCAGTAGAGGCAAATCCAAGCTCTTCCTCTGGCCTTAAGGCTACACAAGGTGTCCCATCATAGGTAGTGGGCTCCAAAAAGTCTGCTCATGTACCAGTGATGGATTCTGATCCTACCGCCAGGGGGCCCCCCAGCAGATCAGGCAACACAACTGTCACCTTAATTCTTAATAGACAGACTTTTTGTTGTAATTTAATGTAAACATCTTGCTAATTTATTAACTACATCCATCTTTTAAGGCAAAGTTAAATTTTGGGAAGAAATTTCAGAGTAACTGAATGAAGTTGTTATTGTGTCTGCCAAAAGGAACATCAAGTCTAGAAAAAAAATAAATGTTCCATTTAAAACCCATTTTCATTGTTATATTTATTTTCATTTGTTTTGGGATACCATAGATTCAACCCAAGACTATCACTGTACATTTCTTTTTTCTTACTTACTAATTTTAGATAGTGTCTCAAATAACTCAGGCTGGCCTCAAATTGGCTATATAGCCAAGTGTGACCTTTCATTCTTTTTGTTTGTTTTATTTGAGACAGGGTTTCTTAGTGGATCCTTGGCTGTCCTGGAACTCACTCTGTAGATCAGGGTTGCCTCAAACTCACAGAGATCCACGTGCCTCTGCCTCCTGAGCTCTGGGATCAAAGGCGTGCGGTACCTGCTGATGACCTTGAATTTTTGATCCTTTTGTCTCCACCTTCTGAGTGCTTCTGAAATTAGACATTTCACCATACCAGTTTATACCCAGCTGAGCATTAACTTAGAACTTTGTGCATGCCAGACAAGCATTCTACCAAACTCTAGCCCCAGCCCTGTAAACTTTTTAGATAAATTTTGTAGTCCTAAATTGAATTTTCCTAAAAATAGGGTTACCTCCAATGTTCTTTTTCTAAGCTACCTTTTAAAAATAGTACATTCTGCTGGGCAGTGATGGTGTACGCCTTTAAACCCAGCACTTTTGAGGTAGAAGCCAGGTGGATCTCTGTGAGTTCAAGGCCAGCCTGGTCTACATAGTGAGTTCTAGGACAGGCTCCAAAGCTACACAGAGAAACCCTGTCTCCAAAAGTAAAACAAAATCATATTCAGCTTCTTCTTTTTTTTTTTGTTTTTGTTTTTTCGAGACAGGGTTTCTCTGTGCAGCTTTGCACCTTTTCCTGGAACTCACTTGGTAGCCCAGGCTGGCCTCAAACTCACAGAGATCTGCCTGCCTCTGCCTCCTGAGTGCTGGGATTAAAGGCGTGTACCACCACCGCCCGGCCATATTCAGCTTCTTAAAGCTTTAGGAAAGTCATTGGGAGTAAGTAATGAAGTTTTGCTCAGTTGCAGTGGATCTCTTTTTACTGAGTATATTCATAGGAAGTTATCTCATTCTTAAGTCTGTAGTAAACCTGAATGTTGTTTTGCTTCTTGCAAACAGGTCAGAAGACATCTCTTACTCAAGAAACAGAGCTGTTGGAATCTTTACTTCAGGAGGTAGAGCATCAGGTGATGAAATATATTTGTTTATGTGCTGCTGAGTGAGCATTAAATATTAAATAGAATGAAATAGTCTTTGCTGGGCATGGGATACAGCTGTAATCTTTGGGAGGCTGAGGCAAAAGGACCATGAGTTTGAGGCCAGCCTATGCTATATAGAGCTTTTGAGGCCCTCCTAGACCACATAGTACCTAGACTTCATCTCAAAAAATAACGTATTTATCTTTTCTTCATCCCTATTTGTCTATCTGTCTGTCTATGTATTATTCCATTTATCTTCATTCATTTATTTATTGCATTCATTCTTTCATTTATTGAGTGATTGAGGTAGGGTCTCGTACTGTGGCTTACGGTGGCCTCAGACTTTTGGCAATCCTGCCTTTGTTTCCAGTAGGCTTTGATCACAAGGTGTGGTGATTTGAATGAGATGACCCATATTCTTAGGCATTTGAATTAGTCCACAGTTGTGGTGCTGTTTGGGAAGGCTTAGGAGGTGTGGCCTTACTGGAGTAAGTGTGTGATTTGTGGTAAGCTTTGAGGTTTAAAAATCTCCTGCTTCAAATGTTTTTCCCCTAGCCTTCTGCTGGCGGAATGGAAAAGGAGGGGATAGAAGCTATGACAGCAAAAGATCTGCGTGCTGTAGTGGAGATTTTTATAGAGTAGGTATTAGCTGATTCTTAAGATTTCTAAATGAGGTTTATGATGATGTGTCAAAATAGGATTACTTTTTTTTTTTTTTTTTTAGATTTGGAACTTACTATGTAGACCAAGCTGGCCTTAAACTCTCAGAGATCTGCCTGCCTCTGCCTCCTGAGTGCTGGGAATTAAAAGTATGTACCATTATGCCTGGCTGGAATTACTTTTTGTTGGGAATAGCCCATAGACATTTGTAAATTTATAAAAGGTAAAATTTCTCCATATGATTTAAGTGGTAGCTTTAAGATAGATGGTTATTGCCATTTACCTAAATATATTGATTTTTCCCTTAAAATTTAGCATTAAGGAAATACTTTTATTGTCATTTACCTAAATATATTGATTTTTCCCTTAAAATTTAGTATTAAGGAAATACCTGTTGTGTTTTAGATAATAGGTATTATTTTAGGCTTAAAAAAATATTTTAAATTTTATGTATATGTGTGGGTATGTGCCTGTGAGTGCAGGTGCCTGTGGAGGCCAGAAGAGGGCATCAGATTCCCTGCTGTACTTATAGGTGGTTGTGAGCTACCCATTGTGGGTGCTACGAACTTTACTTTGGACTTCTGTGTAGCTAGAGTTTTCCTGCCTGGCCCACAGTCAGGGCAAATCTCTCTCACCCGCCAGTCCCACAGCCGCTCAGACACAACCAAGTAAACACAGAGACTTATATTGCTTACAAACTGTATGGCCGTGGCAGGCTTCTTGCTAACTGTTCTTACAGCTTAAATTAATCCATTTCTATAAATCTATACCTTGCCACGTGGCTCATGGCTTACCGGCATCTTCACATGCTGTTTGTCATTGTGGCAGCTGGCAGTGTCTCTCTGACTCAGCCTTCCACTTCTCAGCTTTATTTTCCTCCTTGTCCCGCCTATACTTCCTGCCTGGCCACTGGCCAATCAGTGATTTATTTACCAACCAATCAGAGCAACACATTTGCCATACAGAACATCCCACAGCACTTCTGCAAGAACAGTACATACTTTAGCCGACTTTCCAGCCCCATTTTAGATGTTTGGGATATAACAGTAAACAAAATGGAAAAAAAATTTTTCCTTATCAAATTTATTGGGGGCAGTTAATAAACATAATTGAATAAATAAAACATGTCATCTCATAAATATCTGATACATTCACTTGTCTTAAATTTGTTTTTTAGAATGCCGCTTGGACTTAGCATTTCAGCTGTCCCCAGGTCAAAAGCTTCCATAGGAAACTTTTCTTCATAAGCTCAAAGAAGAGCTTTTTTACTACCCATAAAGCCCAAAGAAAGATTTTTTCCCCCAGTTTGCATTCATAGCCCCCAAAGTTAGAAAATTGAAGAGTTTTTCTGTCTAGTTGCCTTACTTATTTTTTCCTACATGATCTTACACTGCTAAGTTTTTCCTACACTATATTACTACCCTATACCTTATACTTATTTTTCACAGATAGAAATTGAGAAAGGGATAGAAGATAGAAAATTTTGACAGAAGAGGATTTCGCTGCAGCATCGGACATCCTTCCAGTCCACTTACCTTTTCTCTCTAGGATAAAACCCCTGCCTCTCAATAATATATATAAAATATATATTTTCCATAACACCGGCATGCCTTTCCACTGGCAGGGCTGACTCAGCACTTTCGCCAAAAACTCTTTAATAAAACTATTATTTTCCTTTATCTTAGTCCCTATTACTTTGTCTTTAGTCTCTGTTCATTTGTCTTTAGTCCCTCCTTTTTTGTCTTTAGTCCCTTTTTCTTTTTTCTTTAGTTCCTGTTCGGGCGCCATTCTGTGGGGCGTTTACCCACCACCCCCACAGTTCCCCAGAATTTTCTTGAGTGCAATCAGCAGGAAATATTAGATAGAAGGATTTATTGCGGAGAATCTTGTGGAGATAAACAGATAGAAAATAAAGGATAGCCTCGAGAGGGCCTGGAACCTATTCCAACGGGCCCGACTGTCTCTGCCCCAGGGTTTTAATAGAGACGCCAAGGGGTGGAGCAAAAGACCTCCTCCCCCAGCACAGCCAAGTGCAGATCATCTCAGACACCTGCACTCAGGCCCGTGGTCCTAATCATCCTCTATGTGGACCTGCTGGGTAAAGCCACGAGGAACCCGAGAACGGGCTCCCACAACGTTCTCTTCAAATCTTTTGCCTAAAATTTTATTGAGTTCTTTATTTTTTTTTTTTAGGTTTTTGTAATTCTTTGTTGTTTGTCTTAACTAGGATTATATTAGCTTTCTTGTCTGTTACTTTGACAAACTAAAAGAAAGAAAGGCTTATTGTCATACTGTCCATGGTCCATTTGGACCATGGTCTAGTACCTCTGTTGCTTTTGGGGCTATAGCAAGGCAGTATGTATAACATGGTGCAAGAAACCTATTTAACTAATGCCAGGCAGTGGTGGCGCACGCCTTTAATTCCAGCACTCGGGAGGCAGAGCCAGGCGGATCTCTGTGAGTTGGAGTCCAGCCTAGTATACAAAGTGAGATCCAGGACAGGCTCCAAAGCCACACAGAGAAACCCTGTCTTGAAAAAACAAAACAAAACAACAAAAAAGAAACCTATTTAACTCGTATAACTTGTAGCAGTTGGGAGTGAAGAGAGTGACCAGAGTTCCAACATTCCCTTAGACGTGGTCTAACTCTGATCCATTGGGCTTCAACTTTTTTTTTTAAGATTTATTTATTTATTTTGTTTTTGTTTTTTGTTTTTTTGTTTTTCGAGACAGGGTTTCTCTGTGTAGCTTTGCGCCTTTCCTGGATCTCGCTCTGTAGACCAGGCTGGCTTCGAACTCACAAAGATCTGCCTGGCTCTGCCTCCCGAGTGCTGGGATTAAAGGCGTGCGCCACCACCGCCCGGCAAGATTTGTTTTTTTAGTACATTGGGGTTTTGCCTGCTTGTATGTCTATGTGAGGATACCAGATCCCCTGGGACTGGAGTTACAGACAGTTTTGAACTGCCATGTGGGTGCTGGGAATTGAATGTAGGTCCTTTGGAAGACAGCCAGTGCTCTTAACCTGAGCTACCTCTCCAGGTCTGGGCTTCACATCTTAAATGTTCTGCCACCTCTGGTAGCTCTATAGGTTGGTGACAGTCTGTAGCACCTGGCCCTTTGGGTAAGTTGAGTATCATCCATAGAGGATTTTAAAGTTGTATTTGTTTGTTAGAGCTGCCATGATAGAGCCCTGTAGCTAGAGTTTTCCTGCCTGGCCCACAGTCAGGACAAATCTCTATCACCCGCCAGTCCTAAGCCGCTCAAACCTGATCAAGTAAACACAGAGACTTATATTGGTTACAAACTGTATGGCCGTGGCAGGCTTCTTGCTAACTGTTCTTACAGCTTAAATTAATCCATTTCTATTAATCTATACCTTGCCACGTGGCTTGTGGCTTACCGGTACTTTACATCTTCCTTGTCCTGATGGCGGCTGGCAGTGTCTCTCTCACCCAGCTTCCTATTCTCTCAATTCTCCTCTCTGTTAGTCCCGCCTATACTTCCTGCCTGGCCACTGACCAATCAGTGATTTATTCATTGACCAATCAGCAACACATTTGACATACAGACCATCCCACAGCAGAGCCCCACTGAATGGGATCTTGAACAACAGAAATTAATCTTGTCATAATTCTAGATTCTGGCAGTTCAAGGCCAAAGTGCTAGTGGGTTTCATATTTCCTGAGGTCTCTTGCCTTGGCCTGTGGGTAATGTGCTCTCATTCTGTCCTCATAGATGTTTGTGTGCTGAGAACTCTGGTTGCTTCGCTTGAGCTTAATCAACTCATCCTCAAATACAGCTGAGGACTAGAGGGTTAGGCCTCCATCATATAAAATTGTAGACGATGATGAAAGATACAGTTCAGACCACAATAATACATAGTTTTACAAAGCTGCCTCATGATCTTTATAGCCAGTTGAAACAAGCAGTGGTAGATAGATACTCTTCCAAATTGTAGTGTAAAGTGCTAGAACTTCAGACTGATTTTGTTGAGTTCAAAATCCATAGTCTTTTAACTGCCATAGTATTTTACTGCATTAGATTTCCCATTCCTTTTTATTTTTATTTATTTATTTATTTATTTTTTGGTTTTTCGAGACAGGGTTTCTCTGTGTAGCTTTGCACCTTTCCTGGAACTCACTTGGTAGCCCAGGCTGGCCTCGAACTCACAGAGATCCGCCTGACTCTGCCTCCCGAGTGCTGGGATTAAAGGCGTGCGCCACCACCGCCCGGCTTCATTCCTTTTTATAAAGGATTTATTTTAGATGGTATGTATGTCTGAGTGCCTGCATGTATGTATGTGCACCACATGCATGTCTGGTGCTTGAGAGGCCAGAAGAGGTAGAATCCCTTGGAAATGAAGATATAAGCTGTTGTAAGTCACCATGTGGGTGCTGGGAATCAAACCCAGGTCTCTGCAAGATAAGCAGGTGCTTTTAACTGCTGTGCTCTCTCTCCAGCCACAAAACCAAAAAAAAAAAAAAAAAATTCTCATGCTTTATCTCTGTCTTGATATTTCAGGAACTGATAGGATTGTGTGTATGATATATGTGTATGATATCAGCATTTCTAGTGGCCATATATAATTAGAAATGCTTGTTGTTAAAGGAGTATCTGCTCATTAATATATAGTATATAATATATAAAGTAGTTTAACTGTATCAGTGTGAAAATATATTTGAAGTTGCTTTTTTTTACTTAACACTAAAATAGGGAAAAGTTGATTAAAGTCCTATAAGTTTAATGATTTAATTGTTAAAATGCAAGCAACCCTAGATTCTCTAAAGTTTCTTAATTCTTCAAACCTGCTTTGAAACTTAAATTTTTTTCTTTAATTTATATGTATGTGAGAATTTCTGCTTATGTATGTATCACATGTGTGCCTGGTGCTCAAGGAGGCCAGAAGAGAGCGTGAGATCCCCTGTAACTGGAGTACTAGAAAATTGTGAATCACCTTGTAGGTGCTGGGAACTGAACCTGGGTCTTCTGCAAGAGCAATAAATGCTCTTAACTGCTTTTAACTGCAGAACAATCTCTCCAGTCCCTATTTTTAAATTTTTAAAAAGATTTTTTGAGATAGAGTTTCATGTAAGCATAGGTTAACCTCAATTTTGTCATGTAACTGAAGGATGTCCTTGAGTTTCTAATCCTCCACCTCCCAAATGTTGGGATTGCAAATGTGCTAACAGGCTCAGTTTTCTGCTCAGTTGTGGGGTGAACATAGGGCTCCTTGCATGCTAGGCTATTACCAGCCCAGTTAGATTCCTACTCTTGAAAGTTATTTTTTCTTTTCTAGATTTTTGATACAGGGTTTCTCTGTGTAATAGTCCTGGCTGTCCTGGGGGAACCTGCTTTGTAGACCAGACAGCACAGAGATCCACCTGCCTCTGCCTCCTGAGTGCTGGGATTAAAGTCATGCACCACCAGTGCCTGACTATTTTATTCTTAATTTCATTCTTTTCCTTTTTTTTAATAAATCTTTTTTTGAAAATTTATTATTTATTATGTGTACTGTGTTCTGCCTGCGTATATGCCTGCATATCAGAACAGGGCACCAGTTCTCATTATAGATGGTTGTGAGCGACCATGCGGTTGCTGGGAATTGAACTCTGGACCTCTGAAAGACTACCCAGTGCTCTTAATCTCTGAGCCATCTCTCCAGCCTAATTTCATTAAATAACCAGATTGATGTTGTTCAAATCTTAGATGGTCTTTTAATAAAAAATCCAGAGTCAGATATCAGGGTGAAAACTTAAAGATCAGAGAAGCAGAGCAGCCAGCCACTAGTTCTTACCTCTACAAAATCCTCAGTCTAAAGAGTGAGTTCTTGTTTCCTCACGCCTTATATAACTTTCTCTGCGAGACATCACTTCCTGGGATTAAAGGTGTGTGTGCTTCCCAGTACTGGGATTAAAGGTGTGTGTGCCACCACTGCCTGGCTCTGTTTTAAGTGTAGCCTTGAACTCAGAGATCCAGATGGATCTCTGCCTCGTGAGTGATAGGATTAAGGGTGTATGTTACCACTACCTGATCTTTATGTCTAATCTAGTGGCTAGCTCTGTCCTCTGATCCTTAGGCAAGTTTATTAGGTACACAATATATCACCATAATTAGCTTTGTAATTATCCACTGTTTTTTAAATATTATTTTTAATACACTTTAAATAAAATATAATTAATTAAAAAAAAAGCTAGGCAGTGGTGGTACACACCTTTAATCTCAGCACTTGGGAGGCGGAGGCAGGCAGATCTCTCTGAGTTTGAGGCCAGCCTGGTCTACAGAGCGAGTTCCAGGACAGCCAGAGTTGCACAGAGAAACATTGTGTCGGAAAAAAACCCAAAAATATATGTAGATATTAAATTATTAGCCCCTTTCCTTTGCTTCTAACCCCTCCCATGTTTCATCCCTTCTCCTCCTAAGCTTTCCCCATATTGGTAACTTCTTTTTCATTTTTATTGTTGTGTATGTGCACGTGCGTGCATGTATGTGTGTGTGTGCAGTACATTTTTGTTTGTTGTGTGTATGACTTCAGGGCTGACCTTTGTATTGGACAATAGTTTAGGGGGCTCATTCCTTGGAGAGGCTAATTCTTCTCAACAGTCATTAATTGCCTGGCTGCTCTGAAACTGGCTATGTAGACTACGCTAGCCTTGAACTCACAAAGATCTGCTTGTCTCTGCCTTCCAAGCAACAAGATTAAAGTATGCACCACCATACCTGGCCTCAATTTTTCTTAATGAAAATTCTTTTATTTATTTTGAGATAAGATTTCACTATGTAGTCCTGACTGACCTGGATCTTGATATGTAGACCAGACTGGCCTGGAACTCCCGTGTGGACTAGTCTGGTATAAAACTCAAATCCTGCTTCTGTATCCCAGATTCTGAGATTAAAGGTGTGGACCTGGCCCTTTTCATTAAAAATTTTGAAGTGCCATTGAAAAATATTTTTGTTGGTTGAGATACTCTTTTTTCCTCACACAGTTGCGGTCTTGCAGTAAGAGTGAGCTGATATCTAAGAGCTCAGAGATCCTAATGATGTTTCAGCAAGTTCACCGAAAACCCATGGCATCCTTTGTTACCACACCTGTTCCACCAGACTTTACCAGGTATGACAGTTTTAAAATTGTATTTCCATTTTAGGTTTGTATATAAACGTATATACTTCAATAAGCCATTTTTCTTTTTCTTCCTTTTCTTTTCTGTCCTCTTTTTCTTTTTTTAATTAAACAGGTGAAATGTAGATTTATTAAGGAAACATGAGAAAATATTCTGGAGCATGGAAGGGGCTCCAAGAGATACTGAATAAGCTTTTTTTTCTTAACTCATTTTAAGAAATGGTCTCGCCGGGCGGTGGTGGCGCACACCTTTAATCCCAGCACTTGGGAGGCAGAGGCAGGCGGATCTTTGTGAGTTCGAGGCCAGCCTGGTCTACAGAGCGAGATCCAGGAAAGGCGCAAAGCTACACAGAGAAACCCTGTCTCGAAAAACCTAAAAAAAAAAAAAGAGAAATGGTCTCATGTAAACAAGGGTAGTCTTAATTAAACTCACTATGTAACTGAGGCTGGACTTGAACTCCTGATCCTCCTGCCTCCACCTCCCAAGTGTTGAGGCTACAGGTGTGTGCCAACATTACTAGCTAGCCATCTCCTTTTAAGGTACTTAAAAGTAATATAATGCAGTGAACTCATAAATCTGTTCCCAAAACATATGATAGGCCTTTGAGCTGACTCAGTGGGGCTCTTTGACTATGTGGCCTGAATTGGATTTCCCAGAACCTGCTGGGTAGAAAGGAGAGAGCATAACTCTAGGGATGTGATGGGCTCATACTTTTGTTGTAAAGGTAAACTGAAAGGGAATTAGACATAGTTTTCTTTAATTAGAGCTCCATTTTCCTTAGAAAACAACTAATCTTACTGACTTCATGGGTGTCTACTCTCCTTCTTTTCCTTTGTGTGTGGGGTAAGAAGTGGTTCCCAGACACTGTGGTGCCCTTGAGGGCCAGAGGACAGCTTGGGGAGTCTCTTCTCTCTCTTCACCATTTGTAGCTAAGGAATTGAATTCTGACAGTCTGGTTTGACAGAAAGTTCCTTTACTGCTGTGCCCCTCAAAGGCCCTATTCATTCTTTTATTTGCCTTTTAAATTAATGTGTGTCTTGTTAATCAAAACTTAAAAGTACATAGAATACTAAAAAGTTATGTAGGTGACATAGAATCTCCAGATTTTAAAACAAGTAGGAGGAAGCAATTAGTAGAAAAAATTTGCAATCTTAGTACGTTTTTTGATTTTTCAGCTTGGGCTGAATCTTCAAATTCTTCTCAGCAGCATCCATAGAGTCACATTGAGTCATTAAATTATTTTAAAAATTAATTTTTATTGCCCCAGAGACAAGGTCTTATTGTATAGCCTTAGCTGGCCTAGAAATTGCTGTGTAGAGCAGGCTAATCTACCTCTGCCTCTTGGGTGCTGGGATTAAATTCATGCACTACACCCATCCTAGATTAGTAGTGGTGGTGGTGGTTCTTCTTCTCCTTCTCCTCCTCCTCCTTCTCTTTCTCCTTCTCCTCCTCCTCTTCCCCCTCCCCCTCCCCTCCTAGATTAGTGGTTTTCTTTTCTTTCTTTCTTTCTTTCTTTCTTTCTTTCTTTTTCTTTCTTTCTTTCTTTCTTTCTTTCTTTCTTTCTTTCTTTCTTTCTTTCTTTCTTTTCCTTCCTTCCTTCCTTCCTTCCTTCCTTCTTTTCTCTCTCTCTCTCTCTCTCTCCTTCTCTCCCTCCCCCTCTCCCCTCTCCTCCCCTCTCCTCCCCTCTCCCCTTCCTCTCTCTTTCTTTCTTTCTTTCTTTCTTTCTTTCTTTCTTTCTTTCTTTCTTTCTTTCTTTCTTTTTCTTTCTTCTTTCTTTCTTTCTTTCTCTTTCTTCCTTCCTTCCTTCCTTCCTTCCTTCCTTCCTTCCTTCTTTTCTCTCTCTCTCTCTCCCTCCCCCTCTCCCCTCTCTTCCCCTCTCCTCCTCTCTCCTCCCCTCTCCCCTTCCTCTTTCTTTCTTTCTTTCTTTTTCTTTCTTTCTTTCTTTCTTTCTTTCTCTTCCTTCCTTCCTTCCTCCCTCCCTCCCTCCCTCCCTCCCTCCCTTTCTCTCTCCTTCCTTCTTTCTTTCTTTCTTTCTTTCTTTCTTTCTTTCTTTCTTTCTTTCTTTCTTTCTTTTTCTTTCTTTCTTTCTTTCTCTTTCTTCCTTCCTTCCTCCCTCCCTCCCTTTCTCTCTCTCTCTCTCTCTTTCTTTCTTTCTTTCTTCTTTCTTTCTTTCTTTTGGTTTTTGAGGCACGGTCTCTTTGTGTAGCTCTGGTTGTCCTAAAACTCACTCTGTAGACCAGGCTGTCCTCAAACTCAACAGAGATCTATCTGCCTCTACCTTCTAAGTGCTAGGATTTTGTTCAATTTATAATCATACTGAAATTATGACAGCATATTATAATACTGTATATAGTACAGCTTTATGTTAAGTAATGTTTTAATGACAATGCCACAAACTACCCACATGCTCTAAGGGTGATTGGGAGCAAGATATATTATCCTTTAGCTCCCTCTGCTTACAGTTTAGTTCTCTTTAGACTTAGAGAAGATTTCATGGTTTTTAAGCTACTTGATGTCCTCTTACCTTGCCAAGAATGTGGTACTGTGCTAACCCATCTCAGTTTCCCCTCAATTATATATTCTAATCTTCTCATAAAAGTATAGGAGAGCTGGGGCCATAGCTTAGTGATAACGTGCTTGCCTAGCATGCTTGAGGATCCCTACAACTAACTATATAAAATAACTGAAGTGTATAGTGGGTATTTGCTAGTAAATAACCTTGAAGTAAATGTTTGCTCTGTCTCTATTCTAATTATAAACTTAGGGTTTATGAACTGCTTTGATTTAATGCTGTGCTTAATAAAGACTTGGAAATATTTTATAGGTACTACTACTGCCTTCTAGTTTTCAAGATAATACCAAGGATCTTGTTTTGTTTTTTAACTAAATGGAAATTGTAAATTAAGATAATTGATGTTTTCACCTTGTTTCTTTTTAGTGAATTGGTACCATCTTATGATTCAGCTACTTTTGTATTAGAGAACTTCAGGTAAGAGGTTTTGAGAACACTGTTTTTTTTCTTGTGTGTTCAAAGTAAGAGCCAAGATGATGTTATTATGTGGTAGGAGTGAGCTAATGAAGTCCTTAACCAAAGTTCCCTGTTAGAAGTAGAGCTGGTTTGGAGTGTGCATACCGAGATTCATTTTTCATCTCAAAGGGCAGAAATGTTTGGATTTCAGAGTTTAAAATGTTTGCACATAGAGCTGGATGTGGTAGTGCACACCTTCAATCCTAGTACTCTGGAGGCAGAGGCAGTCAAATCTCTGAGTTGAGGGCAGTTTAATCTACAGAACTAATTCCAGGACAGCCAGGACTACACAGAGAAATCCTGTCTCAAAAAACGGGGAGAAAAATGCACATAGATAATGAGATATCTTGGTTCAATCTAAAGCAAAATGTATTTTTGTTTCATGTATACATTATAACACATAACCTAAAGGCAATTTCAGTTCATGCAATATCTTAAGGGACTGTGCATGAAGTTGGGCATACATTTTCTACCTTTGTCTTTGTAACAGTCCTGGCTGTCCTGCGACTCACTCTGTAGACCAGGCTGGCCTCGAACTTAGAGATCCACCTACTTCTGCCTCCTAAGTGCTGGGATTAAAGGCGTGCGCCACCACACCTGTACCAAAAGAAATAATTTAAAAAGAGAGCACACTTAGTTTTTGTATAAAAGAAATAAAAATTATGGAAAGAAGGCTGCTGGGTACCTGTTTTTTTTATGCTAAAAGTGAAGAGTTATGGACAAGAGGCCATTACTGTAAGAAATATAGAAGCTCTTTTGTTAAACTACATGTTTTCTTTGACTTTGCTAATTTTCTCTAGAATTAGAAACTTTAGTCAATTGTCTATCCACTATTCCCCCTGCCCCCATTTGAGACAGGGTCTCACTATATAGCCAGCTAGCCTTGGAACTTGCTATGTAGATCAGGTTGGGATTAAAGGAATGCACCATCGTACTGCCTTAGAAGTCAATATATGAAATCACAAAGACTATGAGAGAACAGGACAAAGGAAACTAAAAATATGAGATCTTTGGGAAATAATGGGAATAGGTGCTGATAACTAAAAAGCCATTTATTTTTCCCCATGGTGGTGCTGGTGCTGGCGCTGGTGTGTATGTTTAGTATATACTTGTGTGACTTCATGTGTGGAGGTCAGAAAACAACCTTAGGTGCTATCTTTTTTATTTTTTATTTTTATTATTTATTTATTTATTGGTTTTTTTGAGACAGGGTTTCTCTGTGTAGCTTTGTGTCTTTCCTGGAACTCACTGTGTAGCCCAGGCTGGCCTCGAACTCACAGAGATCCACCAGCCCCTGCCTCCTGAGTGCTGGGATTAAAGGCATGCGCCAGCACCACTACCACCCAGCTATCTTTTTTATTTTTAAATTATGTGTATGTATGTGTCTGTAAGTATGCCCTGTGTGAGTACAGGTGCTCAAAGAGTCCAGAAGAGGGTGTCGGATTCCTTGAGCTAGAATGACAGGCAGTTGTAAGCTACTGAATGTAGGTGCTAGAAACTGAACTTAGGTATTCTGAAAGAACAGTAAATGTCCTAGAATCTTTGCAAATGCATTAGGCTGGCAGGCCTTCAAGGCCCAGGGATGCGTCTGTCTCCATCTCCCCGGTATTGGATTGCCAGTGCAAGCTACCATGCCTAACAGTTTTTACCTTAGGTTCTGGGGATGGATTTAGGTCCTTGTGTTTGCAAATGACCTTTACTACCTACCTAAGCTGCCACCTCAGCCCATTTTGTTGTTTTTAATGGTATAATTTTGTAGCTAAAAGCCTTGCTGAGTTTCCCCTACAAATATTAAGGGTTGACACACATTTTTACTTATCCATTAAAAAATTATGCTATTCAGAAGTGGTCTGTTTCGTTTGCTTAATCATTTGGGGTTCTTAATATTGATCTAGGGCTGTGCACATGTTTAACATGGGTTGTACCATTAAGTTATTTCCCCATGTTTTTGTTTTTGAAGTAGTAAAGAATGCTTACTGAAGCAGAATTAAATTTGGAATATTGAGTTTCCCTTAGATGGCAGTTTTTGAGTTTTTGTTGGGTTTTAATACAACTTAAAAGATACTGCTGATGTTAATGTTTCAGTATCATTAATTCATAATGTAAGTATATCCACAATTAGTGACAGTTTGACTTGTTCAGTCACCTTCTGTTGTTCAGTATTTTATGTATGAGCTTAAGGTGTGTAGTTGGTTTTTGGTTTTGCTTGTTGCCATTTCATAATAGTTTTGATGTTGGAATTTGGTTGGTTTTCTTTCTTTTTAGCACTTTGCGCCAGAGAGCAGATCCTGTTTACAGCCCGCCTCTTCAAGTTTCAGGACTTTGCTGGAGGTTAAAAGTTTACCCAGTAAGTTTTCCATATTTCTAAATTTTCAACTCAATTTTGAACTTTTCTTTATTGTTTTGAACTATACTAGTTTACTTAATAGAGGAGTATGGAAATTAGCAATTTTCTATTTATGCCATTTATTACTAAATTTGTAAAAATGTATGTTAAATATGAATATAAAAGCTCCGACATCACTAAATTTTATTTCTGGTCTAAAGGGAGAAAAATATGTTTAGAAGACAGTTTTTTTTTTTTTTTTTTTTTAAGATTTATTTATTTATTTTGTATACAGTATTCTGCCTGCATGTATTCCTGCAGGCCAGAAGAGGGCACCAGATCTCATTACCGATGGTTGTGAGCCACCATGTGGTTGCTGGGAATTGAACTCAGGACCTCTGGAAGAACAGTCAGTGCTCTTAACCTCTGAGCCATCTCTCTAGCCCCCTAGAAGACAGTTTTAGGGGCTTGAGCAATGGGTCAGCAGTTAAGAACACTGTTGCTTTTAGGACCAGGGTTTGATTCCCAGCACCTATGTGGTAGCTCACAACATTTATAACTCCAATTTGAAGGGAACTTTCACTCTCTTCTGACTTCCAGGGCACCAGGCACACACGTAGTACACAGATATGCAGGCAAAACATTCATACATATAAAATAAAAAAAATTTTGAAAGATATTTAAAAAAAAATTGGGGGTGGGTGGGTTGGGGATTTAGCTCAGTGGTAGAATGCTTGCCGAGCAAGCGCAAAGCCCTGGGTTCGATCCTCAGCTCCAAAAAAAAAATTTTTTTTTTGGTGGGGGGGGACGCAGAATTTCTCTGTGTAGCCCTGACTGTCCTGGAACTCTCTCTGTAGACCAGATTAATTCAGATTAAAGGCTTGTACTACCATGGTACCCAGCTAAAAAATTTTTTTAATTTATTTATTTTATTCTGTATGTTTGTTTGCTTGCTTGTATGTATGTGTAGCACAATGGTGCCTGGTGAAGAGGATGCTGGATGCTCCGGAACTAGAATTAGAGATGGTAGTAAGCCACTATGTAGGTGCTGGGAATTAAAAGTTTTGTAAAGATCATGAAAACAACAAAAAAAGGTAAAGAGCGGGCGGTGGTGGCACATGCCTTTAATTCCAGCACTCAGGAGGCAGAGGCAGGCGGATCTCTGTGAGTTCGAGGCCAGCCTGGTCTACAGAGCGAGATCCAGGAAAGGCGCAAAGCTACACAGAGAAACCCTGTCTCGAAAAACCAAAAAAAAAAAAAAAAAAGATAGTTATCTTGTAGCTCAGTTGCAGAGTAATTATCTGCCGTGCAATATGCAGTACCCCAAAAGAAAATCACAGGTACTAAAACACATTTAAAAATATGCTGATTGAATTTAACTGAGAGTTGAATTTTAAATGTAATTTAACTTAATATAAATTTTATGTGTATGTGTGAGTGCCTTTATGTATGTATGTGTACCCCTTGTAAGCGCAGTGCTCTTGGAGGCCAGAAGAGGGCATCAGATCTCCTGGAGTTGGAGTTACAGATGGTTATGACCTACCATATGAATGCTGAGAATTGTACTTGGGTCCTTTGCAAGAGCAGCATGCTCTTAACTGCTGAGCCATCTCTCCAGCCCCACCCCCCTGTTCCCCTTATGACAGGATCTTGCTATGTAGCTCAGGCTGGCTTAATCTAGAGTTCATAATTCTTCTGCAGTAGCATTCTGAATTCTGGAATTACAGTTATAAACCATTAGATATGTTCCTTTGGCAAGAATTAGTGTTCTTCAGGATTAAGGCTTCTCAAACCACCAAATGCCTTTTTTTTTTTTTTTTTTTTTTTTTTTTTGAGACAGGGTTTCTCTGTGTAGCTTTGCACCTTTCCTGGATCTCGCTCTGTAGACCAGGCTGGCCTCGAACTCACAAAGATCCACCTGCCTCTGCCTCCCGAGTGCTGGGATTAAAGGCATGCGCCACCACCGCCCGGCGAATTAGAGTTCTTTTATTATGAAATGTCTCGTGTTTACTTCTGTGGTATCGATAGCTATTGATAGTCATTTTCTGTGTCATTTCTTTTTCATTTAATGTTGTAAAGCTTTCATAATGAGATGTTTCCCTTCTCTCATTGGGTACCTACTATTATCACCTGTATCTCTCTTCCTCTCCCAATTTGTTTACCAGCTTTTCTTCTGAAGGCTACAATTTTAACTATTATGAACTCTTGGAGATATATATATATATATATATATATACATACCCACCGAATTAGGGCTCATAAATCCTCAAAAAATTTTAAATAAAATTGCAAAAATTGCAAAAAATAATAGGACAAATGATGTGACTATGATACAAAGTGACAAATACACAGAATTATCCTAGATAATTTATCATACACAAGAAACAAAGAAGAAATGACTAGAGTCACATCCAGTAGATGGATAAATCTGTGTATTTGTCACTTTGTGTCATAGTCACATCATTGGTCCTATTATTTTTTGTAATTTACAATTTTTTGAGGATTTATTATTTCTATGTATATGGGTGTTTTATCTGCATGTCTGTGCACCTATGTGTATCATGAGCCCCCATGTGGGTGCTGGGAATCGATGGGCAGCCAGGTTCTTTTAGCTGCTCATTCATCTCTCCCCTTTCCCCCACAAAGCATGAGCAACATGACGTGGCTCCAAAGCTTTTCAACTTGCTAGACACCCTTCACAAAGACCAGTCTGTTTTGCCCATTCACAAGCTGACACACAGGAAGGAGGTCTTCCCAGCCAGGGATTTCCTTCCTCAGCTACCCTGGACCATTTGCTCCTTTGAAACTGAAAGGGCATCTCATGAATTTTGCCATCTATGCCAACTGTGTCTTGTGCATAGCCGGACTTTTGGCTTAGACTGAGTGGATTTGTTAATGATATAGCAAGCAAAAACAGAAGAATAAACAGCAAGTTGCAGATAGAGAGATGCAACAGATAAATAGTAAAGTATCATCAAATCAGGAGTTTACAACATCCTGCAGATAAACTAGGGTTGCCTGACTGAGGGAGCAGACAAAATTGAGCTGGAGGTTTACAAACACCCAGCAAAGTGAAGCGCATGAACCAGTGAGTTTATTGGGATTACTTAGAGATGTATAGATGAGGTTTTACTTTAAGATCACTCAAAAGCAGCTGCATCAAATTGCAGAAGCTGCATCCCTGGAGCTCCCTTGAGGGCAGCTGAATGGTGGGAGAATCACTGTTCACTGCATCAATAACCATGGAGAGGAGGCGTGTGGGTTTTTTTTTGTTTTTTTTTGTTTGTTTGTTTGTTTTTTAAAGATTTATTTATTTATTATGTATACAGAAGAGGGCGCCAGATCTCATTACAGATGGTTGTGAGCCACCATGTGGTTTCTGGGAATTGAACTCAGGACCTCTGGAAGAGCAGTCAGTGCTCTTAACCTCTGAGCCATCTCTCCAACCCATTGTTTTTGTTTTTTTAAGGTTTTAGTTTCCTGAGACTTGTAAGTTTTGTTTGCTTTTGAGTCTTAGGAACTTTGGTTTTTCAAGACAGGGTTTCTCTGTACAGCCCTGGTTGTCCTGGAACTCTCTTTGTAGACCAGGCTGGCCTGGAACTCACAGAGATATGCCTGCCTCTTGTTTCCCTAAGTGCTGGCGTTAAAGGTGTGCACCAGTACCCCCCAGCTGAGTTGTAGGAATTCTCCAGGGTGGAATGTTTCAATTTGGAGGCAGAACAGAGACAGGTAGAGTTTTGTGTTTTGGACCAGCTTTGTCCAAGTGTGAGTTAGGGCCAGCCAGGACTAAGTACTGAGATCCCCATCTCAAAAACCAAACAAAAGCAGAGGCAGGACTTTGAGTTTGAATCAAGCCTGAGCCTTAGAGTGAACTCCATTCTAGCCTCCACTAGTCCATGAGATCCCGTCTCAAAACACTAAATAGGGGTTGGGGATTTAGCTCAGTGATAGAGCACTTGCCTAGCAAGCTCAAGGCCCTGGGTTTGGTCCTCAGCTCCAAAAAAATAAAAAAAAAATTAAAAAAACCCACTAAATAAACCTTGAAATGCTCACCATTAAATAGGTCTCTGTTGTTTTCTACTTCTCCTAGCCTCTGATAGGTTCTATTCTACATTGTTTCTCTGAATTTGACTCCTGTAATACATAAGTGGAATGAATCATATAGTAATTTACTATGACTGGCTTATTAGGCTCAGCATAATGAGCATAATGTCCTTGAAGTTCACCATTTATTTTTTTATTTGTTTGTTTGGTAGCATAGAATTTTCATTCATTGATAAAGATGAATATACCTCAGTATATGTGTGTTTCACATTTTGTTCACTGATTGTTTTTTCAACTGAGCCATCTTTCTAGTCCTCTCCCTCTTTTTCTTGAGATGGTCTTACTATGTAGCTCAGGCTACCCTCACCTCTTGGCTGCTGTAATTAGAGCTGCTGTTAACACGGATGCCACTCATCTCTTTTAAGAAGCCATTTTCAGATTTTCTTGTAGATAAATATTCACAAGTGGAATTACTGGTTTATTTTTTAAGGAAACAGCATTTGGCACCATTTGCATATTAATATCAACAGTGCAGGAATGTTTCATTTTCTTCATGGACTTGTCAGCTCTTCTTTCTACATTTTCAAAAGTGTCTGTCCTAATACTAGCGAGGTCATATTCATTATGATTTTAGTTAACATGTCTTAATAATTAGTGATGCAGGGCATCTATTCATGTGCTTGTCCACTATTTGCATATTTTTATAGACACATCTACTCACGTCTTTTGCCCATTTTTAGTCAGGTTTATGTCTTTTCCTTTTGTAGGAGTTCTGTTTATTCTGAATATCATCCCTTTATTTTAAAAATTCCTATTTAAGTGTGGGAATGTAGCTCAGTAGAATACTTCCCTAATATTCATGAGGTCCTCATTTTGATAGCTGATATTCATTTTCACCCACTTGTAGTGAAAATAAAGTCATTTTTCTTTTTTCATTGAGGTTTTGTTCTTTCTCTAGATTGATTTATAAAGAGTAATATATGTTAAAACTATTTTTATAGTTTTTAATAGTTTCCTTAATTTGTTAATGTGGATTTTTTACTTTTTTAATGTATAAAAGTTTAAAATTGATACAGACTAACATCTGGGCTTTTAAATTTTTCATTGGTTTTTTAGCTTAGATATATTTCTCAGCCCAGTTATCAGATATTAGTTTGAATTTTGTTTGTTGGCTTCATTGTTGCTTTAATTTTTATATTGGAGTTGATGTGTAGTTTGTTTTGCATAACCTCTTTTCCTACTTTAGGATGGAAATGGAGTTGTGCGAGGCTATTACTTATCTGTATTTCTGGAACTATCAGCTGGCTTACCTGAAACTTCCAAGTAAGTGATTTTTTTGGTGGGGTGGGGTTTGAAACAGGGTTTCTTTGTATAGCTCTGGCTGTCCTGGAACTCACTCTATAGACGAGGCTGGCCTCAAACTCACAGAGATCCACCTGCCTCTGCCTCCCAAGTGCTGGGATTAAAGGCATGCACCATTACCGCCAGGCCAAGTAGTCGATTTAATTAATTACTTTAATATAAACTTACATGCTTCATGTTTTCCTTAGGGTTCTATTGCTGCAGTGAAACACCATGGCCAAAAAGCAAATTAGATAGGAGAGGGTTTATTCAGCTTATACTTCTCTTCAATGAACTACATTAATGTTTCCTGAATTCATGATCCTCCTAACTCAGCCTCCTGAGTGATGGAATAATAAGTGTGCAACACCATATCTGGCCCCTGTAATTTTTTTTTCTTTTAGTATTTGTGATAAGTAATTTACCCTACTACGTTTACTAGATAATTTTTACACTGGTACATTTAATAAAGTTCTTTTGGGTTGATATGAACCATCTGCTTACAGATAAAAATGGAAGAGTAAGAATAAGATACAAACTTTCTGTTCTAGCATTACATAAAACAACATTTTTTTCTGGATGAATTAGCCAGTGAAAGCAGTTTTCCTGAGATAAGAAACACTCAGAGTAGCTCTTGATTGTTCTTCCTTAAAGCCACAAGAGTTTGGGGTTGCAATATGTGATGGGGGAAGTGACGTGGGATAAGGTAGGATCCCTGTATTTGGCAGAGTACCTGAAAGTCCAAGAATACCAAAAAAGCTAGGGTGCATTGTGTAAAACACAGAGATGACAGGGCTCCAGACATTGTGTAGACTACAGAGATGACAGGGCTCCAGACATTGTGTAGAACACAGAGATGACAGGGCTCCAGACATTGTGTAGAACAGAGATGACAGGGCTCCAGACATTGTGTAGAACACAGAGATGACAGGGCTCCAGACATTGTGTAGAACACAGAGATGACAGGGCTCCAGACATTGTGTAGAACAGAGATGACAGGGCTCCAGACATTGTGTAGAACAGAGATGACAGGGCTCCAGACATTGTGTAGAACACAGAGATGACAGGGCTCCAGACATTGTGTAGAACAGAGATGACAGGGCTCCAGACATTGTGTAGAACAGAGATGACAGGGCTCCAGACATTGTGTAGAACACAGAGATGACAGGGCTCCTGACATTGTGTGGAACACAGAGATGACAGGGCTCCAGACATTGTGTGGAACACAGAGATGACAGGGCTCCAGACATTGTGTAGAACACAGAGATGACAGGGCTCCAGACATTGTGTAGAACAGAGATGACAGGGCTCCAGACATTGTGTAGAACACAGAGATGACAGGGCTCCTGACATTGTGTAGAACAGAGATGACAGGGCTCCAGACATTGTGTAGAACACAGAGATGACAGGGCTCCTGACACAAGGAGAGAAATTTGTAATATATGGGGCACAGGTATAGTACTGAGGAAGGCTTTTGTTTAGTAATAGGGAGCGATAAGGTCTAAACTAAATGCTGAGCTCGGCCCACCTGACAAATGAGATCAAGACTCACAAGAATTAAAAAAAATATTCTAGGTAATTAACTGCAGACTGGAATTAGGAAAGTGGATACAATTATAAGGGAATCCATTAAAGTAAAATACACAGTGTAGGCTGTTCAAATATACCATGGAGTAAATGAAGAGAATTGAAATTAGCAACTGATACAGATTTTAGAATGACAAGAGAGTGACATTAAGACAATTCCAACTATATTTTGTTGGGAACCAGGCCAATCCAAGGCTTTCTCACAGGCACTGATAAAAGGACAAAAGGAATGCTAGTTCTGTGCCCAGGAGCAGAATTGGCAAGGTCCAGTCTGGGGTTGGGTCCAGACCTCAAAGGTTTGAGTTCTTGGGAGCCTGACTTTTCCCTCTGTAGGAACTGGAGTTATCAGTCCCAAGGTCTGTGACACATTTGAGATAGCCTTTGTTCCTTTTATGCAACATTGTTTGATTAGCTTCCTACTGACTTTGCTCCAGTGTATGAAAATTTTCTGCTGATTTTGTCCTGTTTTTCCCCTGTAAACTGTATGTACTTCTTGCTTCTTATACTACTTTTTTTTTTGTTTGTTTTGAGACAGGGTATCTACATAGCCCTGGATGTCCTAGAACTTACTATGTAGACCATGTTATCCTGAAACTCACAGAGACCCACCTGCCTCTGTTTCCAAGTACTGGGATCAAAGGCGTGTGCTACCTGACTGATGCTGTGTGTCTTAATAAACTTGGGTGGCATGAACCGTCAGTTTATGCCAGACCTCCTTGTTGTGTGCTATTTTGTTTGTGTTCTGACAAAGAAAGCTTGCCTGCAGATCAGAGGGCGGAGCTAGCCACTAGGTAACTACAGAGGCCAGGCAGTGGATCACACCTTTGATCCCAGCATATGGGAGGCTCAAGTCTTTGATCCCCGCACATGGGACGCTCACACCTTTAGCCCCAGCACTAGGGAGGTGGGGACAGGAATATAAGGCAGGTGGAGACAGGATCTCGGCCCCATTTGGTCTGAGGATTCATAGAGACAGGATGCCCTATTTGTTCTGAGATTTGGTAGAGGTAAGAAGTCTCTGGTGGCTGGCTGCTCTGCTTCTCAGGTAATATTGTATCCTTCTGGGGTCTTTGTAGTTGAAGACTAGTCATGGTGTTTCATCATAACAATTGTAACCCTAATTAGAACACAGAATAACTTCTGTTTTAGGGAAGAAAGGCCTCCCTACTACACTTCCCCCCCTTTTGTTGTTGTTTTCAAGTGAGGGAGTCATAATCAGGCTGGTGTTAAACTTGATAATAGCCAAGGATGCCTTGAACTCATGATATTTCTGTCTTCATCTCCCAAGTGCTGAGATTGCAGGTGTGGACCACCATATCTGGCTGAGAATTTCTTTAGGGAGTGAGTAGAGTTTTCCCCTAGAGAGGTTTCCCTCCAGGTTCCTGTCTTGTTTGAGGTCCTGTCCTGACTGCCTTCAGTGATGAACAGTGATATGGAAGTGTAAGCCAAATAAGTCCTCCCTCCCTCCCTTGCTTTTGTTGTGGTGTTTAATGGCAGTGATAGTAACCCTGACTAAGGCAGTGACCCGTCTGAAATCCTTCTGTTTCTGGGAATGATATCATTTCTGAAAGGATCAGCTGGACTACCAAGTTTATTCTGTAGAATTACTTATTTTGACTTTGCTGACTGTACTGATGGTGTTGTCTGTATTTTAGGTATGAATATCGTGTAGAAATGGTTCATCAGTCCTGCAACGACCCTTCCAAAAATATCATTCGAGAATTTGCATCTGACTTTGAAGTTGGAGAGTGCTGGGGCTATAATAGATTTTTCCGTTTGGACTTACTTGCAAATGAAGGATACTTGAACCGACAAAATGATACAGTGATTTTAAGGTAGTTTGAGATATTTGATGTTGTGACTTAAATTATGGGAGAATAATGTCATCAAGAATTTCAAAGTTTATTCATTTAACAAACATAAATAATTGAAAGTCACACTAACTATCACTTTTATTTCAGGTGTTCCATGTAGTTAGATGAATATAAAAAGTGAAAAAATGGTTTGACACCTAGTTATTGATTCCATGAAAAAGGAAAATATCACCAGATCTGATGCCTCATCACTGTAATTTGAGATATAGAGCCAGAAAGAGTAGGAATAACAAGTTTGAAGCCAGTCTGGCTTACAAGAGACCTTGTTTCAAAAAAAAAAAAAACCAAAAGATTTTAAAGATGGCTTATAGTTTGAGCATACCTAACTAAAAAATCCAAAATGCCTCCAAATCTGAAATTTTGTAGTGCTAATATGCTACAGGTAGAAAATTCTGTACTTGAGTTCATGTGAAGAGTCACAGAGTGATGCTCTACTCATTACATTGCCTTCAGCCTGTTGATAGAGCGTATAACCTAAATCTGAATTCTGAGGTGGGAGGGTCTGGAGTTTAAGTTCATGCTTGCCTACCTAGGGAATTCAAGATTTGCCAAGTCTATGTGAGACACTGTCGGAAAGAGAAAGACAGAAAGGGAGGGAGGGAGGGAGGGAGAAAGAAAAAACAGAAGAAAACTGTCAATTTTTTTGTTTTTTTCATATGAGGTAATAGTCTTATTTTTTAATTTACCAAAGGAAATGTTTTGTTGCCATTCCATGTTACAGTCACAATTCAAACATAATTTAGCAACCTACGAAGTGACAAATATTCCCCTTAATATTTTTATTAGTATATATTAGTTATGTGTAATGGATTTCATAATGACATTTTCATACATGTTTTTAATGTATGACAGTTTTGATCATATTTACCCCCTACCTTTTTTTGAACCCTCCTGTTCCTTGCTAATTCCCTTCCTCTTCCCATTTAGCCTCTTTCTACTTTTTTTTTTGCTAATGTTGTTTAAGATTTTGGTACAGTTTCTTACATACTCATTGGAAAGTTAGGGCTTTTCTGTATCTCTGGTTTTTTGTTTTGTTTTTTTTTAAGATTTATTTATTTATTATGTATACAGTGTTCTGCCTGTACTCCAGGAGAGGGCACCAGATCTCATTATGGATGGTTGTGAGCTACCATGTGGTAGGGATTTGAACCTGGGTCCTCTGGAAGAGCAGCCAGTGTTCTTAACCGCTGAGTCATTTCTCCAGCCCTTTTTTTTTTTATTGTTTTGTTTTTTGAGACAGGGTCTGGCTGTCCTGGAACTTGCTGTGTAGACCAGGCTGGCCTTGAACTCACATGCGTCAGTCTCTGCCTCCAAGTTCTGAGATTAAAGGTATGTGCCTCCACACCTGGCTTTTCTGTAACTCTAAATAATCTAGATATGTGTTTTATACATTTATTTGTTCATTAAAAGAGAAATGGAAAAAATTTCCTGCTATTTTTTATCTTAATGGCACAATAGTAAAAACTAACGTGTAGGAATGACTAGGAGTTTCATCCACCAATCAAAGAAAATACTTACAAAGCTTTTCTCATGTTTGCCTATGAATACTAAACTAACTAGGCAGTCTGCACTTAAAGTAGTGATTTAGTGTTAGGTTCTGCCTTCTCGTACATGAGTATCATTGACCAGAAGTAGATTCTGGTGGTTGACTATTAGTATTCTCTTACATTAGGTGTAAAATCTTACATAAAACTAAATTGTTTCTATTTGATGGTTAGTTTTTATTGTAGACTCACCTGGGAAGGCAGTCTCACCTCACCTACTAGAGCTTGTGAAGACTAGGTTAGCCTGTGGACATGTCTGTGGGGGATTGTCTTGATTGTGTTCAAGGAGACGGGAAGACCTGCCAGTTCAGGGTAACACCATTCTCTTGGTTTGAGTCCTGAGCTGTATAAAGGAGAACGTGAACTGAGTGCAACATTCATGCAGCTTCTGTTCTGCCCGCTTTTGAGTGTGGGTATAATTACTTCTAATTCCCGCCTTGACTTCCCAACAATAATAAACTATAACCTGTCCCATCTCCCTTCAAGTTGCTTTATTGCTTGTTTTCTGTTGCTGTAACAAGTGCCTGAGACAATCAGTTTATAAAGAATCTGGTTCACAATTTTGGAGTTTTCAGTCCATAATAGATTAGCCCCATTGCTTGGAGTATGTTACCACACTATGGTAGAAGTGTTTCATGAGGCAAACCAGTCACTTCATAGCCTAGATTTGGAAGAGTATGGTGTGTGGTGTCCTTTTCAAAGGTATGCTCCAATGACATGAATACCTTCTGATAATACACTAAAGGGAACACCTTTCTGTGCTTGGGCTTTTGGGAGTGCACTTAAGTTCTCAAGTGTGGCAGTAGCTAACACATTCTTGTGTTAGCTAGCAAGTGGAAGGGCCGGAAGAGGTGAGAGAAATATAGACTTGTTGCCTTGTGGTTCTTTCCTCAAAAATGTAGTTACACATATACTACATATGTTCTTCACTAGGAGGAATCATGTTTGACTCTAAGAAAGAGGTTTATTTTTAGTAAATATTAAGAGGGCTTTAAAAAAAAGACGAACAGCCAGGTGGCAGTGGTGCACACCTTTAATCCCAGAACTGGGAAGGCAGAGCCAGCGGATCTCTGAGTTTGAGGCCAGACTGGTCTACAGAGTGAGTTCTAGGATAATCGGGGCTACACAGACAAATCCTGTCTCAAAAAACAACAAACAGGCCTGGAGAGATGGCTCAGTGGTTAAGAGCACCGACTGCTCTTCCAGAGGTCCCGAGTTCAATTCCCAGCAACCACATGGTGGCTCACAACCATCTGTAATGAGATCTGGTGCCCTCTTCTGGCCTGCAGGGACACATGCCGGCAGAACATTGTATACATAATAAATAAATCTTAAAAAAAAAAAAAAAAGAAAAAACAAACAAACAAAAAGACCAAAAAAGTATAGTTTTAGTTAAGATAACTGACATTTAGAGCCATATGTCATTATGGTTTGTGAGTACACACATGAATAGTGGATAATAGAAACTCTGAATTCATTTGAAGTGGTTCTTCATCAAATGTGAGCTGTAGAGTTTATATGATTCACAGATTCACTGTTTGGATTATTCTTCATGTAAAACTGTTCTTTAAGGTTTCAGGTACGCTCACCAACATTTTTTCAAAAATGCCGCGATCAGCACTGGTACATTACTCAGTTGGAAGCTGCACAGACTGGTTATATTCAACAAATAAACAATCTTAAAGAGGTAAGGCAATAACATCTGTTCTAATTTTAGCACAGCCTATTGTCCTTTTGGCCTGCTGCTTTTTGAATTTGATTTTTGCTATCCATTTTAATATTGTGGTAAAAATCTGGTTATCCTTTTCTCCACCCTTTGAGCCTCTAGATTCTGCACTATTCAATTGTGTAGCCATGTTTAGCTACATTAGCTCAATTTACTTAGCATCAACTATGTTATTCCTTATTTGCAGTAACTTCATTTCAGGAGCTTGTGTTAGGCACTGTAGATAGACAATATTTTTATTATGCAGTGTTGTGTTGTGCAGTGCCACACTGGTTTGAGATCAACATTGTGTTTCCCTCAGTAACTAAGGTAATTGTCTTCTATATGCTGTCTTGGATATAAAGATTCAAAAGTAGAATAGTTGGCTTTTTTTTTTTAAGTTATTTATGTTTTATGTATACAGTGTTCTGTCTGCATGTATGCCTGCAGGCCAGAAGAGGGCGCCAGATCTCACTGTAGATGGTTGTGAGCCACCATGTGGTTGCTGGGAACTGGGAATTGAACTCGGGTCCTCTGGAGGAGCAGCCAGTGCTCTTAACCTCGGAGCCATCTCACTTGTGTTCTACTTGTCTCCTCCAGGACCACTTTCTGCATGTCCCCTTAGCATGTCCCCATCTCTTCAACTCCCAACATTATGCTTTCTTTTTTTTAAACTACGAAGACCAGGCTGGAGATCACCCTGCTTCTTCCCCCTCGTCGCTGGGATTAACGACATGTGCTGTCAGGCCCAGCTTGTAACTAATTTTTAATGTAAACATTGTTTGCTTTGCCACTGAGACAACTCTTACACTTAATATTGATTTGTACTGTTCTTATTTTTAAAGAGACTGACTATTGAGCTGTCCCGAACTCAGAAATCAAGAGATTTATCACCACCAGATAATCATCTTAGCCCTCAAAATGATGATACTCCTGAGACACGAATTAAGAAGGCTGGCTCATGCTCTGAAATGCTTCTGGAAGGTGGTCCTACTTCAGCTTCTGTAAGAGAGACCAAAGAAGAGGAAGAGGAAGAAGAGAAGATTCAGAATGAAGACTATCATGTAATAATAAATTAAAATTAGTAATATATATATGATAGGATTGTAGTCTCCACAATATAGTATAGGGGAAACAATGTCCTATAAATCTTGTCCACTAGTTTTCATTATTGATGTATACATGTTCTATACATTTAATACTTCTACAACATTGCAAGGTTATAAAAGTTAATTATGAAAGACCATTATCTGAAACTGTGACACACGGTCTAGAAATTGTTTAAATTGTAGATTTTTAAACTATGTTCTTTCGGGAACTGGACAGATGGCTCAGTAGTTAAAAGCACTAGTTGCTCTTCCAGAGGACCCAGGTTCAGTTCCTGCAACCCACATGGCAGCTCACAACTGCCTGTAGCTCCAGTTCCAGGGAATCCTACATACTTACACAGACATACATGTAGGCAAAACACCAATGTACATTTAAAAAACATCGTAAAATGACTTTTTTTTAAAGTATGTTCTTTTTTCCTTTAATAACTGGTAGGTACTTTATCTGTTGTGATAAGACGGCTTATGATTTGGGATATTGTTAGTTTTGCCAAGTCAAATAATAGCCAGAATAAGAACTGACTAAGTGGGTTTTGTTTGTTTTTAGTTAAGATTAGGAGTACAAAGTAGATTTTCTGTAGTTGGTACTTTTAAGATGGGAGACATGGGTTTTATGTTTCAATGAGGATGCCCTTATGAGGAGAGATTGATAAGGTTAAAAGCATGGATTATCTAAGGAAAAAAGAAAATTGGGCTCAGACTGAAATAGTCTGCTTTGATAGGTTGAGTAAAATGAATGGTAGAACTTGTAGATAAGGCAGCTGAAAGTTGGAGAAGGGGTTTTTGTTCTGTGCAGGTGGGTGCAGGGCTATGAGGATGAAGAAACTTGGAAGGGATACTTAGGTGATAGATTGATAGATTTGGCCAAACTGGCTATGGGGTACAAAAATACTCTGTAACAAAGGATGACCTTGGATTTCTGGTTTTGTTGCTTTCTTACTTTCCCAAGCCTGAGATCACAACCATGCACAGTTATACATGGCTTTAAGATGTAACTTCGTGAGGAGAAATTATAGGAAGAATTATTCCTAGTTAGTTTGAGGACCTAGCTCAAATTGAAAACTATAAATCAATAGTGGTACCAGTCAGTAGGGTTGTGTAGCTTTTTTCTAGAGCACTTAGCAGTATAGACATAGGATCTGTGCTGGTAGATCTCTGCTTAATGTCCTAGATGGAATGACTAACTGAATAGAAATATTAAGAACAAAGATCTTGTTTTGCACTTGCTTAACATCCTAGCACTCAGGAGGCTGAAATAGGAAGATTGCATGAGTTTCAGACCAGCATGGGCTACATAATAAGACTTTTGACTCAGAATTTTAAAAAAGGAGTGAAAAGAAATGTTGCCTTGTTGTAGCATGAGCTCTCAGATGGAGATCTGGATCTTGATCTTGCTGGGGAAGATGAAGTGAATCACCTGGATGGCAGCAGCTCCTCTGCCAGTTCCACAGCAACAAGCAATACAGAAGAGAACGATATTGATGAAGAGACCATGTGAGTGTCCCGTGTGAGCACTTTAAGTAGGAATTTTTTGAAGCACTCTTTAGTGTGGAAATGTTCAGCACTTTTTTTTTTTTAAATACAACCTAAATATAAACTAGGCCTAAGCTAGGAGTTTTTATTCTTGCTTTATTTCTTTATTTAAAAAACCAAAAACTTTTTATTGGACAAGAGAGATACTCAATGGGTAAGAGCACTGGCTGCTCTCTCAAAGGACCTGGGTTCAATTCCCAGCTCCCACATGGCAGCTCACAACCGTCTGTGACTGCAATCTCAGGGACTCTGATGCTCTCTTCTAACCTCTGTGGGCACTAAGCACTCAAGAGGTACACCGACATATATACAGGCGAAACACTCATACACATAAAATAAGTACAATTGTTTTACAAATTAAAAAGAAAGTGTAAGTGTGTGTGTGTGTGTGTGTAACATAGGCATGTGGAAGTCAGAGTTCAACTTATGAGAGTTGGTCTTCTCCTTCCACTCTGGGTCCCAGGGATGGAATCAGATTCTCAGGCTGCACAGTCAATGATTTTTACTCACTGAGCTATACCATTGGCCCAAGCCTGGGCTTGCTGATCAGGCTAGACTGGCTGTTGTATGTTTTCTGATAGTGTTTTATTGCCCGCTTCTTTCCTTAGTGGGGAAAGAAACGCAAAATCAACCTCTGCTCTCTGAACCTAGACTCAGACAAAGGTATGCTTCTCTGTCCTGCTTTAGAAACTGAGCTAACTGGATGTTGGGAGAAAGTGCCTTAGCTCTTAGCTAGTCTTGTTAGCCCTGATGTCTCTGCTGGATGAGTAAAGCGTGGCAAGCATTATGTAAATGTGAGCATTCTCTGGATGCTTTCACCCAATAGACACTCTTCTGAATACAGGTCTGGATATAAGGGTGCAAGTCTTCTTGGCCACACATACCTGGCCTTTGGCATCAGGTTAGGTATTTGGAGACAGAATGAGAAATGCTGGTGGTGTCTTAATCCCTTCCAGCACATTGAAAGCATATACTCTTGGTTATATTAGTCTAGAGTGGAATTTCTTGGGGGCTGAATTAAGAGGGAAAGAAGATTAATCTTGGTGTAAGTACAATTTATGCTCACTCTTTTGGGGAGTGTGTGTTTTGAGACAGAGAGCCACTATGCAGGCTTGGCTGGCCTGGAACTCAATCTGTATGTAGTCCAGGCTGGCCTCAACTCAAAGAGATCCACCTCCACCTGCCTCTTCCTCTCGGTGTTGGAATTAAAGTTGTGTACCGCCATCCCCACCCTTATTCTCTTTCTTATTACCAGTATTAATACTTTTTAAAAAGTAGATGTTTCTTCATTTTATTTCTGTACCTTTAGGAATATTTCCAGGGTACTTCCCCCCCCCCTCTCTTTTTTTTAATGAGCTTTTTTTTTTACCTGCGTGTGTATGTCTTTGCGCCATATGCATGGCCTCAAGCACCTTTTACCTGTGAGCCATCTTACACAATACAGATATTAATTGCATTTCCTTTGTGAGAATTATGAGTTATTCTGAACATGATGGATTTTGTCTCTTCTCAGGTCTGGAGAAAATGATGTAGAATATAACAACATGGAGTTGGAAGAGGGAGAACTCATGGAAGATGCAGCTGCTGCAGGACCTCCAGGTATAGAGGCCAGGCTCCACAATTCATTCTGACTGTTGTAGTTTAGTGGAGGGTAACCACTGATGTAAATGGTTCATGGTATTAATGCAGTACTTAGGATATTGAAAAGAGTAACTAACATCTATCAAATATTCTTCTGTACCAGGCTTGTTATAAAGCACTGTTCTATACCATAATTATTTGTAAAATTCCGAGACAGATTTTTTAAAGTCCTCATTTATTTATTTGTTTATTCTGCTTCTTGGCATGAGATTTCATTATGTAACCTGATTCTCCTACCTTGACCTTTCAAGTGGTGGAATTATAGATGTAGACTACCACACCTGGCAAATTTTACGTTATAGTTACAGAAACAGGTGCACAGGTGATAAATGTATCATAGTAATGAAAAATGTTAAAAGAGAAATGGGTATGAAATATATAGAAGCATTCTGTACCTTTTCTGGTTTTTTTTTTTTTTTTTGAGACAGGGTTTCTCTGTGTAGCTTTGTGCCTTTCCTGGAACTTACTCTGTAGCCCAGACTGGCCTCTAACTCACAGAGATCCACCTGCCTCTGCTTCCCGAGTGCTGGGATTAAAGGCATGCACCACCACCTCTTTGCTACGTTTTCTATAATTCATACTTTTCTAAAAATTGAGAAAATGTTTCAGTGATTAGAAATAGAGTGGAATTGTGTACAGCATTCCCAAACCCCTGGGCCACCCAGTTGCACAGCAGCAAAATATTAAATCAGAGACCCTGTTTCAAAGTGCGTTTGTCTTCTGATCTCTATAACCTTATTATAGCATATACACACATATACTTAAACACAGACATGCACACACACGTGCACACACAGCAATACAACATTTCTAAAGCAAATTGACATTGATAAGGTTATGACTCAGAACATTTGTTCCTTTTTTATATTTTTGTTTTTTTGAGACAGGGTTTCATTACATGGTCTTGGATGGCCTGGAGTTCAGTATATAGAACAGGCTGGCCTTAATCTCACAGAAATCTGCCTGACTCTGCCTTTCAAGTGCTAGGATTAAGCCTTGACTTTGTTATGTATTTGTTGTTATTGTTTTAGTTTTGGTTTTTGAAACAGTGTTTTTCTGTGTAGTCCCAGCTAGCCTGCAACTTGTTATGTAGACCAGACTGGCCTTGAACTCACAGATGTCTCTGCCTGTCTCTGCCTCCCCATGTTGGGATTAAAGATGTGTGCCACCGCACCCAGCTTATTATGTAGTTTTTTGAGCATCTTGAATGAATATATATTTTATTATTTTTGTATATATGTATTTACAGGATTTCACTTTGTAGCCTAGGCCTGCCTAGAACTTAAGTAACCTAGACTGGCCTCCAACTCACAGCAGTTCTGGGTTGCAGCCTCTTGAATGCTGGGATTATAAGCATGAGCCACCACACCTGGCTCATGAAAAGATTCTTATTTTTCATCATGTTTTGGGATTCTTCAGTTATTTCTTGAGATAATTCTTTGCATTTTTTTCTTCTTTTGTGACTGACTCAGTTATGTGTTGCTACTTTTATGAGGGTCCCATGTATTTCTGAAACTCTGGTTTTTCTTTTGTGTTTTGTCTTTGTAAGAAATGCCAAATTAAAACCATAGTAAACCACTGCATATTGGCCATAATGGTTAACATATGCTTTTTAAATTGCTTTTTTTTTTTTTTTTGCGCAAGTTTTCATGTAGCCTGAGTTGGTTTTCAAATTGTTATGTAGCCAGAGATCGCTTTGAATTCCTAATCCTTTAACCTCCACCTCTTAGGTGCTAGGATTACAGGCATGTGTCACCAAACTTGATATGGTTGCTATTTTAAAACTGGCAGTACTAAACATTAAACATATGGAAAGATGGGAACTCTTTTACTTTCTCATGGGAATGAAAACTTTTACTTTCCTTGATCCTGTCCTGCACTGAGTTGTGTATCTTTTTTTTTTAGATTTATTTATTGTGTATACAGTGTTCTGCCTGCGTGTATGCCTGCAGGCTGGAAGAGGGCACCAGATCTCACTGTATATGGTTGTGAGCCACCATGTGGTTGCTGGGAATTAAACTCAAGACCTCTGGAAAAAGAACCAGTGCTCTTAACCTCTGAGACATCTCTCCAGCCCCCTGAGTTGTGTATCTTATATTATATACGTTTATGGTTGTGTGGTGCTTCAGAGGAGGTTGGTGATTACTCTTGAGTCTTAGTCATGGTTGTGATGTTCATTTGCTTGGCAGTATGGTTCCTCTGTGCTTTTCATTATGAACACAGTCTAAGACACAGATGTGCAGACAGGTCCTCGACCATTAGTTGGGATTTAATAAAACATGGACAGATACGTACAGTATGTTTTCTCTATTTCTTTTGTAGGTAGTAGCCACAGCTATGTGGGTGCCAGCAGCAGAATGTCAAGAAGAGCCCATTTATGCTCTGCCGCTACCAGTAGCTTATTAGACATTGATCCTTTAATCTTAATACATTTATTAGATCTTAAGGACCGGAGCAGTATGGAAAATCTGTGGGGCTTACAGCCTCGTCCGTCTACTTCACTTTTGCAGCCCACAGGTAAAATAATAATGTCTTTTCTTTTTCCTTTGGTTTTCTGGAAGAACTGTCAAATTTCTATCTGTGTGTCTCATCTGAGTATTGGAACACAGTATGTTTCTCTAACCAATCTACCACCCGTGCGTGCGTGCGTGCGTGCGTGTGTGCATGTATGTGTGTGCATGTGTGTATGCCTATGTGCACGCATGCTCTTGCACTTGGGATTGAACTCAGAATCTTGACATGCTAGGTGAGCTGTACCTATAGTTCTCCCCCTTCATTTCCCCTGTCATTGCTCAAGAGTTATGTCAAAAACAAATTTTAAATGCCTTTTAAATGGTTTTAGGCTAGGGTGTGTAGCTCAGAGGATAGTAATCACCCAGCACACACAGATCCCTGTTTGTGATCCCTAACACTTCAGAGACCAAAAGAAGAAATTTCTAATTATGCCCAGCTGATTGTTTGATCCATACAGAGAAGTACTGTTGTCTTCTTTGTGGATGGATTCAGTTTTTCAGGCTTGCCTTTCAAGGGGAAATGTGTCTAAGTTGAACATGGAAAAAAGTTTAATTATTCATTAAATGAAAAATGCATATCACTGCCATGGTGGCACATACCTGTTATCTCAGCATAATAAAGACTGAATCATGATGATTGCTCTGAGTTTAAGGTTAACCTAAGCTACATAGTGAGTTCAAGGCCAGCCTGGACTTTTATTGTGTGACCCATTTCAAGAAATCAAACAAGGACTGGTCATGGTAACACACATCTTTTATTCCAACAGTTGTGAGGCAGTGAGTCTGTGAGTTAAAGCCAAGCCTGGTCCATATACTGAGTTCCAGGCCAACCATAAGATACCTAGTGTAAGACACCCCCCTCCACACACACACACACACACAAATGAACATCAAAACCTGAGAAAATGTATATTAAAGTTAGTTAAAAGAAAAATAGTCTTTGTAGTAAGATAGAGATTTGTATAGTCCAGTCTAGGCTCTTTGATCTGAGATAGAGCTGTTTTTACACACAGTGATTTCCCATTAATGCTACAGTTTAAAACCCAGTTAGGGCTGTTAGTATAGCTCAGTGGTGATGTGCTTGTCTAGTATGTGCACTTGGGCACTTAGCTTCTCCCCCAGCCTCCCATTCCAGGGTTGGAAAAGCAGCATTTTTGTTGGAATGAATGCTTTCTACAACATCCTTGGTATGTAACAACACAGACTGACCTCTCCCTTACCTTTCTAAGTTGTAGTATTGGATCCAAACAGGGGTATAGACAGGGATTTTGGTGATACCTCAAAGCAGCAGAGCTCACTTTCTGAACAAAATCATAGAACCTCTGTGTAGAAAACAAAGCCTGAGCCACCTCAGTGGTCTGGAGGTGACAGCCAGAATCAGTTCCTCTTTTTCTTAGAGCATACTTTCTGAAAGTCTTGCCCCTTGGTTTGAAAGATTATCTTCAACTAGGTTCTAGAACAGTTGCTTTTCATTTGTGGTTCAAGTACATTTTGTGTGGAGGTTCACTTAAGTCAGTGGCTTTCTACCTTCCCAATGCTGCAACCCTTTAATACAGTTCCTCATGTTAGGGTGACCTCCGACCATAAAATTATTTTGTTGCTACTTCATAACTCTAACTTTGCTACTGTTATGTATCATAGTGTAAATATCTGATTTGCAGCATATCTGATATGCAACCCCCTAGAGGGTCACAACCCACAGGTTGAGAACCATTGGCTTAAATGATAATTGGTGGTATGTACAAAGTCCAAATGAAGCAGGTCAAATCTGGCTCTGTAATAAACATAATTGACATAACTTTAAGAGGAACAATTTTACAATTTGATTTATAAATAGATCTAATAGATAGGTAAAATAATGTTTTTTTAGGTATTGTATGCCATTGGAGAGGATATAGACTGTATTAACAGTAACATCTCTGTTCTGGAATGTTTAGTTTTCTATGGAAAATTCATAATGAAGCAGCCTGAGTTTTAAATCCAGTCAGCTAAAATAAGGATAACAGCAAGAAGGACATGGGGCAGATAATGAAAGGAAACAGCGAAGTCTTGGATCTAACTTTGGATCTAACCTGTGGGTTGTGACCCACATGTGTCAGATATCCTGTGTATCAGATATTTACATTAAAATTTATAACAGCAGCAAAATTATAGTTATAAAGTAGCAATGAAATGATTTTATGGTTGGGGTCACTACACCATGAGAAACTGTATTAAAGGGTCATAGCATTAGGAAGATTGAGAATTCCTGATGTAAGCCATCTCCTAGTCTCGATGCCTGTTCTTTGGTGATACCATGAAACGCTTTACTGCATTTGACACATTAAATTTGTGGGAACGAATGAGGTCATGAATATTAAAATTGATATGAACATGGTTTTTCACTTGCTTTCTTTTGAAGCATCATATTCTCGAAAAGATAAAGAGCAAAGGAAGCAGCAGGCAATGTGGCGAGTGCCCTCTGACCTAAAGATGTTGAAAAGACTCAAAACTCAAATGGCTGAAGTTCGGTGTATGAAGAGTGATGTGAAGACCACACTGTCTGATATAAAAGGCACTGGTGTTGCTTCTGGAGACATACAGACAAACCTTTTTTGTGCTGACCAGGCAGCTCTGGCTACCTGTGGACCTGAAAATTCTGGTAGATTACAGGATTTGGGAATGGAGCTCCTAGCAAAGTCCTCAGTCGCTGGCTGTTACATACGCAACCGTAAGTGAAGAAGTTCCCGTAGTGTAATTTCTCCCATGTGCTTTGTGAAACCACATGACTGGTTGTTTTCACTTAACAGTCTATCAGTATCTATGTTCTAAAGATTTAAATTAAAATGATATATTTTTGTGTATGGATATTTTGCCAGAAGGTGTGCCTGTGTAACATGTATGTGCCTGGTGCCCACAGAGGCCAGAAAGAGTGTCTTGAATCCCCTGGACCTGGACTTTTAGATTGTTGTGGCCAACTGTATGGGTGCTAGGACTTGAACCCAGGTCCTCTGCAAAAGTAGTAAGCGCTCTTAACCACTGAGCCATCTCTCCCACCCTTCTTATGAGTTAAAATAGCCTTTTTCTCTCCATCCAAAATTGAGTGACATTTTTCTTTTGTAAGGAATTTGTGTGTGTGTGTGGGGGGGGAATGTACAACATGGTGCACTTCAGGAGGTAAGATGGTAACTGTGGAGTCAGTTCTCTCCTTCCACATGTGGATCCCAGGGTTGAACTCATGTCGTCAAGCTTTAAAATGGTGAGTGCCTTTACCAGCTGAACCACCTTTCTAGTCTATTCTAATATTTTCCTTTATATGATGGAACTATAGTTGGACTTTCTTTGTGCTACTAGCTCCCAAATACTGACACAGAGACTTATTATTAATTATGAAAGCTTGGCCTTAGCTTAGACTTGTTCCCAAGTAGCTCTTAAAACTTAAATTAACCCATTTCTATTAGTCTACATTCTGCCACTTGGCTCATTACCTCTCCTCAGTACCATGCGTCCTACTTCCTCCGTGTCTGGCTGGTGAATTCCACCGCTATACTTCCTGGAGTTGCTCTCTCCTTGAAAATCCTACCTATCCTCTCCTGCCTAGCTATTGGCCATTGAGCTCCTTAATAAACCAATTAGAAGGTGCCTTGGCAGAGGCACATCTTCACAGTGTACAAAAAGATTATCCAACAACTCGGAACTAAGGATTTTTGATTGCTAAGTCAGTGCTTAGCATTAAAGGACACTTCATTATCCTTATAGATCCTGTATTGTAATGATAAGAATCAGGCAGTAAGGTATGTAAATAAATGAGTGAAAATAATTTTAATGAATACTTACTACTGTGAAACAGTAGATAAAGAATGTCTTATTTTTTGGGGGTAGTCAGAGAAAGTCTCTGTAAAGAAGATATTTGAACTGAACCCTTCAAATGCCTTGGGGAATCAGTGTTCTGTATAAACAGGACAGAAGTGCAAATTCACTGGCACAAGATTCACTTTGAAGGATTGAAGGGAGACTAGCTTGAGTGGGTATGGTGAATAAGGCAGGGCAGACTGAGAGATGAAGTCATAGATAACAGGGATTAACTCGAGATCTGATAAGACTTCAGTAAGGAGTTTGAGCTGTTTATTTGTTCAGAAAGCTGCATTGTGGAGGAAGATTTAATACCAACCACTAGAGTAGCTGGTGTGAATTTAGTAGTGTAATCTGGAGCTAAAGCCCTCAGTAGGTAGACTTGCTCATAGCCTGGCAGCCCTCTTGGACTGAGTTTCCCATCCTGAGTATGTAACTAATACTGTTGTGGATGCAAAAAGAAAAGTTACTCTGTTACATACAATGCATGTCTTAGGCCAATAGGATTCAGTTCTTTGTCACAATTTTAGTTATAAAAGGCTGAATAGTTGAAAGACAGAAAGGGAGGATATTTTTTGGCCTAAGCAACTTAGTGAGAGTGCTGTCTTTCACTGAGCAGCAGTTCATAGCCAAATGTGCTAGTGTGTGTAGGTGACCCTAATCCTAGCACTTCAGGAAGCGGGAGCAGGAGATCCCGAGTTTAAGGATGGTTTGAGCTGTGTGCCAGAGTCCCAGGCCAAGAGGGGTGATGGACAGATCCAAGGCAGCAGACGACAGTCCATCATCCCAGGACACCTGTCTACCTCAGAAGCACCCTTCCCTAACCCCCCCCCCCCCCAGAGTCAACCGACACCCACCAAGTCAGCTGGAAGCAGTTTTTTTGGGAGAAACGATGCCCCTATTTCTGTTCACCCCCTTTTTTTATAATCAAAACGTCTGGAATGTTAGGATTCTGCCACTCCAGCTATATGACCACACATGTGCAGTTCAGTAGCTAAGCAGGGGGTCTTACATCTTACGCCATCAGTGCGCTGCATGATTGCACAAATGCACACAGTGCGGTCACGCAATTAGTGCATGCGTGGCATAGCTCCATAAGCCCACATGCGCATGTGCAGGAGAATCCTTAAAAAGTCCGTCACAGACTCCTCCCCTCTCTTCTGCTCTCTCCTCCTACCATAGGCCTGGTCACTCTCTTCTGCCCCCCTCCACAATAAAGCTCTGATACTGAGTTTTATCGTGCCTTGTGACCTTTCTCGCACAGTAACAGTGCCACTTATTATTTAAAACCAACATTCCTGCCTCTGCTGGGTTTAAAGGCGTGCGCCACCATACCCGACAGTGTTGGTGATTTTTTTTTTTTTATTTTATTTTACAATACAATTCAGTTCTACATATCAGCCACGGATTCCCTTGTTCTCCCCTCTCCCGCCCCTCTCCCCTTCTCCCCGGCCCACCCCCCATTCCCACCTCCTCCAGGGTTGGTGATTTTAATGGAGAAGAGAAGTCTTGGCAATGAGGCACTAATCAGACATTTAGAGGTCTGGTGAAGAAAAGGGATTGAGAGGCTGACAATGGAAATTGAAAAAAAACCATTAAAACAAGTGAAAAACTAGATGGTATATTTCCAAAACTGGGGCTGGAGAGATGACTCAGTGGTGAGGAGCACTAGCTGTACTTCCAGAGTACATGTTCAATTCCATGTTCAATTTCCAGCACCTGTATGGCAGCTCACAATTGTCTGTAACTCCTGTTCCAGGGGATCTGACACCTTCATACAGACATACATGCAAGCAAAACACCAATCAATTATTCATAAAATAAAAATAAATTATTTTAAAAAATTTTAAGAAAACATTCTAAAAAGAAGTGTTACCACCTATGCTTTATACTTTTGAGAAGTATCAAAAGTGTGGAAGAGCACACCAGTTATATATGAGATGAGAAAACAAAGCTTTCTTTAAAAAGTTACATGTGAACTAAAGAATGTGGGGCTGTGTGAACTGAGCAAGAGTTTGGTATTGGGCACTGCCTATGTGTGTTCATTTTCCAAGTCATACATGCTATGAAAAAGGTATGTTAAATAATGGTAAAGTATATATAATGTAAAATTTGACATTTTAACCTTTAGTTGAGGAAGCATATGTGTTAAAATTTTTGGCAAAGTGTACATAAACTAAAATTACTGTTTCAGTCTTACAATTGAGCAGCATTAGCACTTTGGCATTGTTGTGCTGTGCGTCCCTCACAACCATCCATCTCCAAGAGGTTTTCCTCACTCTAAAACTGCATCCATTTATCGGCAATCCCTCATTTCTCTACTCCTGGGGCCTGGGGATTGTTGCTCTCTGCTTTCTGCCTCTGAATATCTCTTTTAGGTATCACATACAATTGGAATTGTTGCAGCATTTGACATTTGGGGGTTTTGTTTGGCTTCTTTATTTTGTGTGTCTCCAAGGGTTCATCCATATGATGGCATCTTGCAGAACTTCTTTCTTCCCAATGGCAGAATTGTGCTGTATTGTATATAGAGAACACATTTTGTTTATCTATTCATTAATCCTTTGGACAATTGCATTGTTTGTATCTTTTGTCTCTAAACATACATATCTTTCTTTTCAAGCCCCCTTTTAAAACTCAGTGGCATTGCTAGATTATTCTATCCTTAGATTTTGGGGCCAGGTTTTGGGGGGACATGCTTTGCTATTTTCTGTAGCAGACACACACACACGCACACATACATATATATATTTGTTTTGTTTTTTGTTTTTCAAGATAGGGTTTCTCTGTGTAGTTTTGGTGCTTGTCCTGGATCTCACTCCATAGACCAGGCCAGCCTGGAACTCACAGAGATCCACCTGGCTCTGCCTCCCGAGTGCTGGGATTAAAGGCGTGCGCCATCACCACTTTTAACAGTGTACAGGTTCCAGTTCTCTAGATGTTCACCAGGACTTATTATTTTCTGTTTTTTTTCTTTTTCTTTTCTTTCTTTTTTGAACTAGCCTTCCCAGTTAGCATAGAAATAGGATCTTGTTGTAATTTTCTTTTGTATTCATTTTCAAGATAGACTTTTGCTATGCAGCCCAGACTGGCCTCAAACTCCTGACTGATCCTTCTGCCTTAGCTTACCCAGTCCAGGGATTACAGTTATATACTGTAAGTGGAAGTTTCTGTCCCACCAGCAACTCCCAAATACCCAGCATCTGCTTCCCAAATTACCACACAGAGGCTTATATTAATTATAAATGCTAGGCTGATAGCTAAGGCTTATTACTAATGATCTCTTATACAGCTTAAAATAACCCATGCTTTTTATCTATGTTTAGCCACATGGCTTGGTACCTTTTCTCAGTACGATATTCTCATGTAGCTTCCTCTGGATTTGGCTGGTAACTCCTGACTCTGTCCTTCCTCTTGCCAGCATTCTTAGTTTAGTTGCCCCACCTATACTTTCTGTCTGGCTACTGGTCAATCAGCATTTTATTAAACCAATTCAAGTGACAAATCTTTACAGTGTACAGGAGGATTATTCCACAGCATTTCCCCCTTTTTGTCTAATTAAAAGGAAGGTTTTTAATTTTAATATAGTAAGATTATATACAACAAAGTTATTAAGTAAGAAGTACAGTGATACTATCTAATCCATTTGCATTGGCAAAGTTAGAGAAAATACATATTTATCTTATCTTGGTGAGTCTAGTTTTGTATCTAACTTACCTTCTATTAAAACTAAGGAAAACTATAATTATATCTATCTAGTCTTCAACTCCATCAAAGACCCCAGAAGGGTAAAATGTTACCTAATGACAAGGACATCAGGCTGCCTGGACAGTCACCCAAAGTTCCTTTGCAATGTTGGGACATCCAACTCTGGCCTAC